CGAAGTGACCCCGGGCGCCAAAACCAATCAACTGGTCTAAACATCATGTGAGATTGAGCTCGCCAACAGGCCACGTAACTGCCAATCATCAGGACAAACACCAATCTGAGGGCAAACAAGCTGGCTAGGCAGAGCAGGCAGCGACCTTGGTGAATGACTGCAATTTATATATAAATTCTGACACAGATTCCATAGACCTACTTATTTCAACTTATCTATTCATGACCTTCAACTCTGACCTTGACGGTTTCCCATATGACTGACAGACCTGCTCTAGCTCACATCTTCTAAACTATACTAAATTATTCTAAACTACTCTAAACTATCCTAAATTGTCCTAAACTCGCCTAAACTTACATAAGGTTAAGACCAGATGCGCTCACCCCAAAAGTGGGCCCGCGTTCATCGCGTACCTGACAGGCCTCACCATTTCCACCGGCTCACAAACTCAAGCACGATGCTGAAGGAGAAAACTCGAGTTTCAGAACTTCATTGACCGATATACGAAGATTTCAGAGCCCTCAGCGTTCAGTAAAATGCCTCATCAATCCCAAAACCGACGCCAAACGACGTGTTGAAAGCCTATGAGGAAGACCAAGATATCAAGTCCTTTGTCGACCGTGTAGCGAAGCTTTGTCCCAGACCAACTTTGACCCTGGTCCTGAACAAGCATGTGGACCTGGGGGAGCTTTCGAACAAGGCGCAGCAGATATCTGTCAAAGCATTTGTCCTCGTTCATGCTATTCAGATCCTCCTCTTTGCTCCAATGGACTGGGACAGCGAGCGCGTTTACTCTCGCGACAACGAGAAATACATCCGCCGATTTCCAACTCCAGCTGAGTTTGGTGGCGGTACTGGAACATAAGTTGCTGGCCTATTTCCTATGGAAGATCTTCTCCGTGCCATTTTGGTCTTCTACTCACTCGTCTGCTGTCGATCGAAGCGTACGGCTTGGATAACGCGACCACCATCAACCAAGGCCAAGTCGAGATTTGTTGGCTACTTCAATGAGTTGGCAGCGACGATTAGTCTAGAGAGGCTCCGGAGGTTGGCAACACGGTCTTGGACTATCTCGCGAGGTGGATGCAAAATACCGTGAACAAGACAGCGCTCGAGCGAAGAGTAGCCAACACCGAATGGCAGAAGAGGTTTCGGGAGCAACAGAAAGAGAACATAAGGGACATCCACCTGTTGAGTGATGACCAAGTCCCCCCGAATCTCGACGCCCTGCCCGAAGTTACCGGAAATCGCCATGTTGATATTGCGCTGCATTGTTGCAGTCCACCCGGCCAAACTCACCATCCAGGCGAGAATTTCTGAGGCCAAGACCGTGGATATGGAGTCTCTATCCAAAGCTAACTTCAAAGCTGTTATTGGCGTTCTACACTCTACACCCCGGAAGGAGGAACCTGACACCAAGTTGGCTCACATTCGGAGGACGATTACTCATGTCGACAGGTTCCTTTCAGGCAACGAAATCAACGATTTCATCAGAAGCCAGGAGGAGTCTGAAATCGTCACTGAGTTTCGGCTTGCAAACCCTGACAAAGAAGCAGAGCTGGTAAAGCTCAGCCGTCAGCAGTACACTTTGGAGCACATGCTATCGCCACTTCATCCAGAACCGTCCAAAGAAGGGGTGCAGACCCTTTGCCAGACATTTGGGATTGCTGAGTGGCCTGACCTCAGGCTATATCCTGAGCGCGAGGATGTCCAGTCCCTCAAGTCACACCAAGTGGAAGGTAAGTTCTCTTTGCCTTGATGTGTCACTATCACTGACGTACCAAAGTGTCCCAGATGCTGTCAGCACCGTTCAACGTAGAGAGACTTTCTGGCGACATACCTTCATTTCGAACGACATGGGGATGGGGAAAACTAAATTATATTATAGCGTCAACGCCACCAGGAAGAACTTTATAACATGGAAATGGAGACTCAAGGCGAATCGGATATCAGGTTCTACCCATCCCTTATTCTTACACTGGTCAATTCAATCTGTCAGACCTGGAAAGAGGGCCATGAGAACTTCAAAAACCCCAAGATCATCGCCTACTACAGCACGCCCAGCGTGTCCCCGGAGGAGAAGATGAATCTGACATACTCAACAGAATGGTCGCGTCGTTGTCATCTCAACCTACCCAACATGGTCCAGCCGCGCGGTTCTGAAGCGAGAGCGACTATTTGTCTTCAAGGCTGGCAAAGTCCCCGAATTGGTCATGAAACAACGAACGAAGACTAGATACAGTTCTGAAACACAGGAAGAGGATGTCGAGGATGTCGAGGATAAGCTGGAGGAGGAGGCGACCATCAAGAACTACACCACCAACGAGCTTAACATGGACGATATCAAGTTTATCGCCCGAAACGAAACCGAGGCGCTGAAAAGGCTGACGGCAATCTCATCAAGTACCTGTCCAAAGCTAAAGCCTTCTCGAACGCAACTTTTAAGTTTATTGTCGCTGATGAAGCTCACAATGCCAAAAAGCTCAATGGCATCATTTATAACCACATGTTGCGCCTTCTCAATTGGAAAAGGTTGCTCTGGGTGTCCAGAACACCGATGCTCAGTTTCCTCAAAGACCTATTGTCGCCTCTCTCTCTCTCATGTAGGCAACTTATGGCATCGAACTTGACGTCGACCTTCAATCAATTGGCTATGTGCCAGGGTTGTACGATGAGAGGTATGATCCTTATGCAGAGGACACCGAATGAGGCATTGAGAAGAACACAACTCATCGGATTTTCACTAAAGCTTCTTGTCAGAGTTTCCCCAGTTTGCCCAACTTGAGGAAGTTTTCAAGAAGTCCAACGGCAGCTATCGCCTTTGGATGATTAACCCTATCATCTTCCGCACCACTGGTGATACTCTTAACTGGGGACAAATGCTGGCCATCTTGTTGTGCAACCAATTTCAAGAAGCTTCAAGTTCGCCGTACCAAGAGGACACCACGTGTGTGAGGCGCGTGANNTGGGGACTATCAACTCAAAATAACTCTCGTATCAAAGCCAATCCGGGCAGTATACCGGCTAACCAACACAATTGCAAGAGGACACCACTGCAATGGCCGGATGGAAAAGTGTCCTACCCTGCTCAGGATCTGCTTCCGTCGATGATCGTACTTGAAGAAGTATCACACGACGAAACGAAAGAGGTTGATGACGCGGTTCGATTCGATGGGACAGATCCAAGCACAGAAGCTGTTCAATCAGAAGAAGGATCCCAAGATTGAAGATATACATAGAAGTGGCAACTCTCAGGCTATCAATGGTCAAGTCAAGGATCCTTCTCCAGAGCTGAACTTTGGAGAGCACAGAAAAGGCGTCCTTACTTCATTTGATTGGCGTAACTACAAGATCATGTACCCAGATAACCCGGTCATATTTGGGCAGGAAGATGCTGTCAACAAGCGCATCAAGGACTTAGGAGATCCTAACACGGTGCGGACAAATTCGCAGATGGAACGAGAGAACAAGAAGCAGGCGGCGAGATCGACACCGGTGTCAGGAGTCGATGAGGTTGAAGAACTTCTTCGCAACGACATCAAGGGTGGGCTCAGATTTTTCTTTCATCGGACAAACAGCGACGCATCCTTTCTTCCACCAGGCGGCCCTAGCTCTTATATCCACTGGCTCTGCTACATGGGTACTGGTGTTAACATGCATACCTGCTGTTACCGGGGCATTCTTATGCACTGGCTTATGAAAGCCAAAGGCATGCTTCAAACTATTTATTGCCTTATCCGAATCAACCACCCCAAGACTGTCGAGTTCCACCTGTTGAAGTTGAAGAACAGTTACTACGACAACATCGAACGCATTTGCGTCGCGAAGTGGGTAATCAGCTGCCTGCAGAAGTGATGCTTCCTGACTAGATTGATGCGATACGCGAGATTTGTATCAAGACATCTTGGCATCAGCCTTTCAACCGCTATGCCTGGGTTGTTGAGCGAGATGTCAGCGGGTACGATATGGAGTATCACTCAGACTATACGATCAGTCTTGGACACGTTTCCTCCGTCGTTGCCAAGTTGCTGCTGGATAATCCTAAAAATCAGATTCAGGATCGTGGACAGAGAACGTTGACTGGATCGTCGATGGCTGCCGCGAGCTCACGTGTACCTTTGAATCTCCGGACGAGATCGAGGCCCAGGAATACGAGGAATTAGAGCAGGCCGAGATCAAGGCTTTCTTTTCTGATGCAGCTAGGCCTGGGACGCCTGACAGGGGCATGAGGCGCAAGCGAGCGGCGATGGCCGCGACGAAGGTACTATCAAGAAGCAGGACACTGGTACTTATGACTAGAAGGACTACAGACAGAGGCAGATGGAAAATAATGAAATTTTGCTTCAGGGCCTTGATAGTTAAATGACTGTTTATCGCAAGCCATGCATGAAAAAGCTTGCCCGCCTTTTGTGATAATGATCTGGATATATATCTTGTTGAGATAACTAGCGGGTTTTGACTCTCAATTACCGCTTCTCACAACCACGAGTGGCCGGGTATCTCCCTCTATCCTGACAGCAGTTTCTACCTCCTGCCCTAACAAGTATTAAGCTTACAAGCTTGAACTATTTGATTCCTTACCCTGCTCTAGAGAACCTGTCGCTTGCCAACTTCGAACGGCTGACATGTTCTCTCCTGAGTCCTTCAACCCCTCGTCTACAGACGGATGGAGGCGGCTGACAAAACATAATCCCCTCCACTAACATCATGTTCGGCGAAATCAAGAATTACAAATCAATAGAGGATCCACAATAATTTCTGACGCATCTCTTTTGGCTACTCTACTTCAGGAAGATCGAGTCATCGCAATGTAGTCACGCGCACTCACCCTTGCAGGAGTCCGTGAGCATCTGAAGCTTATATATAAGAGCCTCAATTTTCTAATAATACCGCGACCAAGAAGTGTTCCAAGAGACATAGACCACCAACACCCTGAAGCCGAGTCCTCTAAGATTTTCAGACTCGAGTATATCAGCATGTACGACCTTGTCGTAGTTGGTCATGGCATTGCCGGCCTCGCCGCTGCAGTATCAGCTGCAGAATCCTCGCCCTCGGCGCAGATAGCCGTGCTAGAGCATGCACCAGAGCATGCGAGCGGTGGAAACTCACGCTGGAGCCCTGCCAACATGCGAATGCCATCTGTCAATGAGGTATTACCAGGCTTCGTGGACGACATGGTGGCTGCAAGCGGAAGTGGTGGCGACCGCGCGTATTTCGAAAGGCTGGCTAGCCAGGCCCCTGAAGCCCTCCAATGGCTCGAAAAGCAGGGGGTGCAGTTTCACGCCATGGACTATTTCTTGAAATCTTGGCCTAACAGGATCCAGCCTGTTGGCAAAGGTGCTGCCATTGTCGAAGCCCTTAAGCAATCAGCCAAATCGAAAGGCGTCCAACTGGTGTATAATTGCCGTGCCCAGCGACTTCATCTTGGCCAAGGACAGGCTATGATTGAGGCAGCTGATGGGCGACGAATCATTGCCCGGTCTGTTGTGCTCGCCAGTGGTGGGTTTCAAGGCAGTCCAGACATGCTGCGTACTCATCTTGGTCCTGGTGCGGAGACGTTGAGACCGATATCACCTGGGACGGCCTGGAACGCCGGCGACGGCATCCAGATGGCGCTGGCCAACGGAGCCAAGGCCTCTGGCGATTGGAACGGAATGCACAGCGAAATAATCGACCCACGGAGCAGTCAGCCAGCGCCACTGGTCCTCAGTTACCCGTACGGGGTTGTAGTGAATCAGGACGGAAAGCGGTTCGTAGATGAAGGTGCTGGACTCGTGCATGACACGTGGGAGCATCTTTCCAGAACCATACATTTTGAAACACCGGGCCGCTTAGCCTGGGCAATTTGTGATTCCAGATTCTTTCAATTGGAGGACCATGAGGCAGCTATCCGCTCCGATATGCCGCCGGTGACAGCGGACACGATTTCTGGTCTGGCGGCACAGATGGGGATGCCGGAACAAGCGCTTCTGAACACAATCTCAAACTACAATGCGGCCTGTGACGCAAACATGTCTGGCTTTACGGCGGGCCGGCTTGATAATCTCGCCACTACCTCAGGCTTGCAACCATCGAAATCGAACTGGGCTAGGCCGCTCGACGCTCCGCCGTTTACCGCATTCCCCTTAGCCGCGGCCATTGTCTACACTTTCGGCGGCATTGCGACTGATGTGGAAGCGCGCGTTCTTGGCCAGAGAGGCATCATTCCTAATCTATATGCTGCAGGTGAGATTACTGGCCATTTCTACGACAAGGCTCCAAATGCAGTGGCCGTTATGCGGGCAGTCGTCTTTGGACGTATTGCTGGCCTCAATGCCATAAGTTCCCATTAGACAGAGAGAAGTGTACCGTTGGGTTAGTAGGGTTGAAGGGTTAAAGGGTTAGGTATTGGCTATCTAAGCTATTCTGCTCATGTTATTTTACAGTGGTAGTTTTTAAGTTACGAGAAATAAGAGATAATACTTTGATAGCAATACACACTGGTCTGTGCCCGTGGAGAGGCGTCAAAGACCTAGCCGCTAGGCGCCGGGCCTTTTTGCGGGAAAAGAGACACCCCAGCTCTAGTCTGCCAGTACCGTTTAGCAGAGTCGTCGCGAGCGCCGTGACATAGCTATGGTTGGCAAGTGTTGATATTGATTACACTTCCGCTACTGCATCTCTACAAGTAGAGGGAAAGTAATCATGTAATCACCTCTACAAGTAGAGAGGCAAGTATGTCTCTACTTGTAGAAGCCTGCATAATTACTTGCCTCTATTTGCACAAGCTTATGTGATTACTTACCTCTCTACTAGTAGGGAGGCTTACATGATGACTTGTCTCTACTAGTAACGTAGCACAATCAGAATCCTGTCAGGGATATCACACTGCAAAGGAATCCCCCTGGACGTCGTCGCACCTCCGCTACTAGTAGCTGGTTGAATCTCTGTAAGCCGTGATCTTTGAACAAGAGGGTTCAAGAACGATCGAGAGGTTGGCTTCAGTAATGGCAGAAAACGGGTTATACGTGTTGCTGAGCATGACCCTTTACTGCCCGATTAGCTGCTACTCTGATAGTAACGCTAACTAAACAGCTTACAAGACAATCAGATTTTTCCATTCTGACAATACCGTCTTGACCAGAAGTGTTGTACGTCCAGGGTCTTGAAATGTTTAGAAGCTGGCATCCATAGCGATACCATACGGTACGAAAGGCGCCAATTAGGACAAACTCTCAGGTGTCCAGCCGACTCCATTAACCTCCATTCAGCACACCTCAGTTTATTTGGTGTTACATCACAAGCATACTGACCAAGCCGTGGCACTCAAAGAGATAGGTACGCTCCAACTACGGTAGTAGAAAGCCGTTCACAGGGACCCACCGCAAGGCAGACTCGAATTGTCTGGGAAGTGACCACTGCAAGAGTCATGGGTTTGAGAGATCCATCCTGCGAAGGATGCTACTGTTTGTTCGCACACTTGCAAGTCAATGCGTTCCTCTCATCACCCTTGATGATAATGATCTGAACATAAGTCTTATTAAAATAACTACTCCTGGAGTCGCAGTAAGTGTCGGATAAATAGTCAGGCCTCTGTTGACGTTTCAGACTTCTCCTGTACTGCCTCCGGCTCATGTTCTCCTTTGATCTGCAAGGGCTGCCCTATGATGGCCTCAAAATTCTGGTAGTCATGTTAGAGAATGCACAAGACTCTTGTTTGATCTTGGGGTTGACTTACAGGGCCTTCAAAGGTCTTGCCATAGACCATCCAGTACAGGGCAAGAAGTAGGTAGAAAACGCCGACGACAGCGGAGACGTAGTCTATCCAGGTTAGTAAGCTTCTAGCTACTCAAGGCAGACATACTTACTCATCGTATTAGCTGACACGGGGAGGGCAGTCGGAAAACAGAAGAACTGTGAGGAGTCAGAGAAGAGTTGGACAAAGTCAAGGTATCTTGTACTTACGATGGTGATGACAACGACAAAGACGCTTGCAATGACATTGACAGCAGCGCCAGTCCTCAAGCCCATCCTCGCCGGTGTCTTTCTTGTCTGGTACTCCTTGAGAATACTTCTTCCTCTTACCAACAAGGCAATGACAGGGCCAGCATAAGAGACATTGAGGAAAATAGTGCACGAAGCAATGTAAGCACTGAAAGCCACAGCAGGACCAAGGTACAAGAGTCCAAAGAGGACATTAAAGATGAAACACAATGTGATTGTGCGGACAGGGACATCGAGCTTCGGTTCAATGTGTGCGAAGTAGTTGTGGCAGATGATACCTTTGTCTCTGGCCATGGCGTAGAGAAGACGACTTGCGCTGGTGATACTGGCTGATGTGCCGTTGATGAAGCAGACGCTTAACATCAGGGCCAAGATGGTTGCTGCGGCGCGACTCTTTGTGCTTTGAAGGAAGAGTTCGACGATGGGCATGCCTGTGTTAGAGGCGAGGATTGTTGCGGGGTCGGTGAGGCAGAAGAGGATGACGAGGATAAAGAGGAAGCCACTTGACAGGTTAGCAAGGGGGTATACGGCTGCAAGGATGGAATGACTTACGTGACACCACCAATGACTATAGCCAGCATCATAGCTCGCGGTGCATCCCTTGAAGGGTTGGGCATCTCTTCAGTCAGATGCAAGACGACATCAAACCCAATAAGCGACAGGGCAGACTGGAGTAGACCAAGGATCCAAGCGACACCATCTGACCAACCAGTCTCATTGCTAAACTCTGTAAAGACTTGACGGGCATCTGTCTTTGGTGACATGGAAAGGAGGATGATACTCATAATAACGACCGAGAGGACGGACCAATACACTATCAAATGGTCAGTGGTAGGGACTAGGCTTTCAAGAGAGCACGTACGGGCCATGTCATTCCAACGACCGAGGATCTTGTTGCCCCAGACGTTGCCGACGGTTCCGAATGTAAGGATGGCGAGAAAGAAGAGATATGTCTTCCATTGTGTGGCCTCGTATGCGTTATTCGAAGCGACGACGGCTGCGGCGGAGACCAGTTGAGCTAGGCCGTCCCAGTTAGCAATTGGCTCACTGACGACCATGGGGGTATCTTACCAGCAAAGAAGGCTTGAGTTGTGACAATAGTCAACCAACCGGCAATGTTGGTCCATCCAACAAAGAAACTCTATCAGGTGTCAGTCTTTGTTCGTGGGTTAACGAGTTCAACGTACCATGGGCTTTTTCCACTTTGGTGTACAAAGAGCGTACATGAAGTGATACTGTCCACCTGCAGGCAATTAGCCATTGTTCCAGGAACATACTCGAGTCCTCTTACCAGCAGTTGGCCAAAGAGCAGCCATTTCTCCCAGACTAGCGGCAAGAGCCAAATTACAAAGAACACAAACGATAAAACCATAAATAAACGACACCGAGCCCCCAGAAGGAAGAATATACGCCACGGTACCAGCGAGTGCAATCCATGTACTGACGAGGGGTTAGCCATTGCCAAGAACAAAAACAGGGTATGACGAACTTGAGAATGGCAAAGGCCATAGCAACCATAGTCAAAGTCGAGAGACGCTGCTGCAAAGCGCCCTCCTGCGTTGAAGAAGTCATCTTGGGTTGTTTATCGAAATTCTGCTATGATGAAGTAGTTTTCTCGTTGGAGTTCCAGGAGGAGAAAACGTTTGACTCATATACTCGTTGCCAAAGGTCACACGGCCGAGCCACTTGCGTTGATAAGACCTATCGGGGAAAGGGGGCCACCATCGCACAAATCTCCAACAGCACGTCAATCTACACTGCCCTCGTTGACATGTTATCATACCAGACAGTTCCCAATCTGCCGAGATATCCTGATAAGCCAAGCAATTACCCCAGGTTTTGCGATATCAGGGCATCTCCACTGAATATACCGAATGCGGCAGATTTACGAGAGGAATGATCCACGTCATTGGGGCAAGGAATTGAGCTTGCTAGTGCCAACCTTGATGCTGGGTCCTAGCAGATTGCGGGGGAGATCTAGATTGTCAGGGTCTCTCGCGAAATTACCGGATGCGGTAATTCGCGTCAGAGATAGCTGATATCGCGATGGGGCGAGATCTTCGTATCGTGAGGTTTTTGGACTAGATGGAGGCTTCTCGTTATCTTCTCGAGAAATTTCCGTTTGAGGAAATGCGGACTTGGGGCGAGGATGAGAACACGGACCGAGGATAAAATGAGTAGCCGTCCTCGACGATACTTCTGGTTGATTCTGCCTATCATTCTTGTTTCGTCTGCACAAGCGTCTTGATCAATTGACTCGAGTGACGCGTGATTCAGCCTTTGTTATCAAGCTTGACCAAATACCTTCACAATGTCTTCTCGAGATGGCTTCTCATGGACTGAGTCCCAAGGACTCAAGGCTGGTGTTCCATGCATTGGAGCTATCAACCCTCCTACCAACCTCTCAGACAAGAACACAAAGTTTGATGTGATTGTTGTTGGTGCGGGTTACTGTGGTCTGACTGCAGCTCGTGATGCAGCCGTTGCTGGTGAGTCTCAATACCTTCTAATCTCATGAGACATTACTAACAAACACAAGGCCTCAAAGTGTTGCTCATTGAAGCTCGGGATCGCATTGGAGGCCGATCATGGAGCTCAAACATCGAGGGCTATCCTTATGAGATGGGCGGTACCTGGGTATACTGGGGACAACCCAATGTCTGGCGTGAGATCTCAAGATACGGCATGCAAGATGAACTCGAGATCTCATATGACTTCTCAAGAGGCGTCAACAAGTATCTTCTTGTGACACCTGAGGGCACTCAAAAGTTCACTCACGAAGAAGAAGTAAGTCCGAGTGTGTGCATAATCAGTCAAGAACCCAGACTAACGAACTCAGGATCAACTCATGCAAAGTGGTCTTGAGAAGCTTGTCAACATCGACGGTCAAGCTGGTCGAGAAGCATTAGTCTTTCCACACAGCACAAATCTCGGTCCTACAGCTGCCAAATACGACCGCATGTCCATCGCAGACCGTCTCGCCGAGATCCAAAACGATCTCACCCCCAACGAGCGTATATGCCTAGAAGCCTTTGTTCTTCTATGCAGCGGCGGCACCCTTGAGACCACTAGCTTCTACGAGTTCTTGCACTGGTGGGCTCTCAGCGGCTATACATACCAAGGCTGCATTGAATATCTCGTCAAGTACAAGTTCAAGGGCGGCCAGTCCAGCTTCTCTATTCGTTTCTTCAAGGAGGCTTTGGCTAGTGGAAACTTGACGTACTCTTTTAGCACGCCGGTTGCTTCTGTGAAGAGCGGCCCTGCTGGTGTTGAGGTTTCTGCGAGAAGTGGCCAGAAGTTCAGAGCTTTGAAGATGATTAGCGCTATGCCGCTTAACATCCTTAACGATGTGCATTTCGATCCTCCTCTGATGCCTGGGAAGAAGGCAGCGGCGGATATTGGTCATGTCAACCAGTGCACCAAAGTTCATGCTGAGGTCTCTGATCGAGATCTTCGCTCGATGACTAGTATCAGCTATCCTGAGAACAAGCTCTCATATGGTTTCGGAGATGGTACTACCCCTGCTGGTAACACACACATCGTGGCCTTTGGTGGTCAGCACAACCACTTCCATCCCGAGGAAGATATTGAAAAGACCAAAGCTGCGTTCCAGGGCTTTGCTCCGATGGATATCAAGCGCTTGGTCTTTCACAACTGGTCCAAGGATGAGTTTGCAAAGGGAGCTTGGTAAGCCAACCCATTCTTTCGATATGCCAACGCTAACAGTTATAGGTTCTTCTCTCGACCTGGTCTGCTGACCGATCATCTTGGTGACATGCGAGCCACGCAGGGCAACATCATCTTTGCCTGCTCTGATTGGGCTCTTGGGTGGCGCAGTTTTATTGATGGAGCCATCGAAGAAGGAACACGAGCTGCCATGGCTGTTCGTTCGAGCCTTTCCGAACGAAGCCATCTGTAGTTAGAGCAAAAGGATTATTATAATTCGCGTAGACTGTACGTAAAAGTTGAGGCGGGCATTCCTCTCTTCTGTTATATCATTAGATGCATTATGCATAGATTCGGATTTATATAGGTATTAGCGTGTTAGCCTCTTAATTCCTCATAGTCAGTCAGTGTTGAAGAGCGCCAGGCCAGGAATACACAACGATTTGGAGAAAAGCCGGAAGTAGTTTAAGAATTCTTTTCCATAGGAAGGTGATGCTAGCTTCACATTGCAAAACGTGATAACCAATGAGCACCTTGGTGCATGGTCGTTGCTCAAATGTGCTTCGTTTAAATAAGTTCATCGGCTCGCAGCAGCTCCCCGCAGCCGTTATATACCACCATTTGCCCAATCTGAGCCTTCCTATCCTCCTCCTCCCAGGCTTTCCTTCGATCATCTCTCCAACTCTGTATCTGATGCTTCCTCTCTCTCGATATCCCCAGTCCGTACATGGGATCGCAAATACTAAAACCTACCTCTCGCCAGGTTCCATTGCCAAACCGACAGATAGCGACATTCATGTCTACTATATTGGTGGTAAACTCTGGTAAGTGTTAGCTTTGCACAGTTTTATCGGGGATCAGGGCGGGGTGGACTTACTACCGGGCAGCCTGCTCCCCGCAAGGTTGGGCGTGAACAAGAACTCGTATAGCTTAGGACTAAGATTTTCTTTAGGCGGAAACATTATGTTGGCATCATAGCGCTTCGTAGTAGTACTGATCTCTTCGCGCAGGTAGGTTTCCACGAATCGGTGGTGCCACAGCCTAGATAGAAGTGGCTTGTAAAATAGTGGTGTTGTTTGCCGGTGCTCGTAGGTTGGCCTCGGACAAAGCTCCAGAATCTCTGTGCTGATATTGACGAGATCTTGAATCTGTCTGAGGTTCTCTTCCCAGTCATCAAACTTCCGCCGAAACAGCTTAGACTTGCCCCCACGAACATAATCTTCCAGGAGTTCCACAAGTTGATCCATGTTCTGACGCCTTTTCAAGCGACGTCGCATTCTCGCAACCATCAAAGCCAAGGGTATGAGCTCATCGTTATAGAATATCTCTCGGATGTAGGAAATGTTGTGTCTGAGGAGCTTGTCTCGGTTTTCTTGGTAGCAAGCTCGTACTGACGGAGAAGCCCCGACGAGAGATGCTGCATCGCTCAGTGAGTCGAGTTGCTCGAATATTTGGAACTTGATCTCCGCAGGAAGCTTCACAAAGCAATCCATTTTCTCCAATTGGATTCCAGTGTCCTTTCGAAGGTAGAAGGCCAGAAAGCTTAAAGCCAATGATGTGGCGGTACCAAGAAGAAAGAGGGGGGAATCGCTCGAGGTGCGGATATTTATATAAATATAGGCGATGAACGGGGTTTGTTGAAGATTGAACAATGGCCTTGCCGTCTTGCTCGCGGTCTGAGGCTTGTTCAGCAGGACTTGAGTAGTTGTGCCTCAGATAAATAGATTACAGGGAGTGTCAAAGCAGGAAGAACAGTTTCTTTTATAGAAGCATTTACTGGCGTAAGGTTAGGGTTTTAAAAGAAGCTTCAGCCCCCAGGCCACAAAGGGAACTATGGATGACGGCGGCCTATAAGGTTAAGCTTTAGGCTGCCACAAAGGTAAAGGACACCAATAGAAGCATTTACAAAATGGTTTGCCAAGCAAAAGTTAAACTGATGATACTTGCTAATAGAAAGTCAATATGCCGTAGACCTTTGCGATAGGGGGCAGCCTGTTTGGCTATGAAGCATAATCGATAAAGACATCTTGTTGACAGAGCTATGGCTCAGCATTCGAATCAGCGTGCCGATACTCTTGTTAAATCAAGTTCTTACAGCCACGCTTATAAGTCTACATGATTTTAGCAATGCAATTACACGCTTCTACTCTCAGCTTAGCATTTCAGTCTTCTTTAGTTTGTGCAAAGGCTGCCAATGTCTCATCAAAATAACTCAAGATGACGGGCAAACATTGAGGCTTTTTTTATATAAACTCTCGAGCTTCATAAGTACATACACTTGAATAATTTTTAAGGCTCTGATTTGCTATAAGTACCCAGTAGTTTAAAGAAAGTTTCTTCCTTCTTATGCTTTATTTTCATGCATCTCGGATTACTTGATATTTAAGACTTCGCCTTACTAACTCTCTTTTATCCACACTCCTAAAACTATCTTGTGTTGATTATCATTATAGAGTGGCTATCATGAAACTGAAGGGAAGCCTGGCCTTCTGTGCTTCAAAATCTCTCTAGCTCTAACCTCGCCTAGCGTTACTGTCAACTCAAACTGAGAGAGCTGTATATGCTTTCTCGCTTGGTAGCAGATCGAGTAGACATCCTCATCCCAGCCTTCGCTTGCAACTGCAATTTCTCCGTGGTGATTTTAAAAAACATATCGAGGATACATGCTTTCTGTGCAATTTTTCCAAGTTGTTTCAAGTAGAGGACAAGAGGAGAACCCTGAAGACAGACGTGGTCCAGAAACAGCTTGGTATCGTACTTTTGTCTTGATTTAAACCGGCATTCTCGCAGTCGCTGCATGACGAATTCCGGAGTCCCCCCTTGGCGTATGATGTCGTCCACTTGGTTGCGCTCCCGTCGTCTATCCCCTACATAGTTGATTTGCCAGTCGACGGACTCGAGGATCCCATCGAGTATATCTTTAATCAAACATAGCATGTTGAGGCGTGCCATGCGACGACCGTCGGTTGATGGCATGAGCTTGTAGAGATGAGATTCGAGTTCCTTGACGTGTTCGTTTTCCGCGAAGAGCTTATCTTCCCGGTGACATCCTAGTTGGCAATAAAGGTCGTAACGGAGGAAGTGATTGATGACAGTGCTCCGATCCGAACATGGAAGATCATAGTTTCGCCGCGGTGTCACGGTCCGCCAATAATGCAATTTCCAGATGTAGACACGTGATTCATGCCAGATGATGTCAAATTCCCGGTTCATGCTGATTAGGGCTGCAATGCAGCCCAGGTCTTCTTTCCAGCGCTCTCCAGGCACTGAGTTTTCGAAGCGAGAGAAAGCATCGAGGTAAGGTCTGATACGTTGCTCGATCTGAAGGGACGTCAACCCCCGAGTCTGGGCACGTACCTTTCTAACTTGTAAGAGAATCACTGCCAACGGCACAAGTGCTTCATCTTCAAAGATCCTGTATATATCTTGGATATATGGCCGTACAATAGAAGCGCACTGGTTGGCGTGGAAATAACGTCTCGCGGTTGGGGAAGCCGAGATGAAAGATCGAACGTCCCGAAACAAGTCTTCGTTTGCCTGAATGTTGAGATTTTTCACGATGTTGATATGAATCTCAGGCGGGAGCCAGTTGAAGATGTCAGAAGGCATGGTTGAACAGAAGATGGGTTTTCCACGGGATGATTGAGGGGTAAGAGGGGGCGCTGCGGGCTTTATAAGAAATCAAGGTTTTCCATGATATCATTATAGAGAAAGACAAAGCGCCGATAAGATCTTTCGAACAAGGTTTTGGCTTGTGATTGGATCATGAGACGAGAGAAAGTGAAAGTCGGGGACCGTGATGGCTGCCTGGACTCGGTGCCTAAACACTCAAAACTCTATACAAAGTTCAGTTTTCACGTGCGGCCAGTTGTTTCGCATCTCACGACTCTCACAGCAATTCATTTCCCAACAGATCATGATTTTCATTCGCTAATATTGGATATACACCACAAAGGCCTCAGCACATCTAGCTTAAGCTCTTGGCCAAGCCATCCTGAGCAGCCTTCTCCAGCCCCTCAACCGTCTCCTTAGGCAGCGACAGGAACGGCGAGTGAGAGCTATTGATGTGAAAGCTTCCGGCATTAGGACCCAATGTAGCAGCCAGATTCTCCTGAATAGCTAACGGAATAGCACGGTCTTCATCGCAGAAAATAAAGAAGCAGGGGACGTCGTGCCATGGCTCATACTCAACATTGTCGGTGTACACGCGACGAGATTGATGCTTCAACGCAGCGATGGCCTTGGTTTGGGTTTCAGGATCAACGTCGTGGTAGAACACATTCTCGGGGGTGTCAGCGTAGACATAATCTCCCTATTCGCCGTTAGAAAACCATTTCGATAAGCGACATAAAACTGACCTCGACTCGCATCCAAGGAAGATACTCTCCTCCAAGGGCCGCAAGAATACTAACTCCCTTTGGCATGACAAACGCACTCAGATAAACAAGCTGAATCACACCGCCCGTCTTGCCCTCCTGCACGCGCTGCTTCAAGCCCAAGCCCTTGACAGCCTCAGCACCGACAAGCCCGCCGTACGAGTGCACAACAACCATGACTTTCTTGCCCTCCTTAACCAACTTCTCAACAACAGCTCGTACAGCTGCGACATCATCGCTCAAACCCACGGTAGGGGGCTCTGCGCCGACGGAGGGGTAATCAACGGCCTCAGTCTCCCAGCCTTTAGCGTGGAGGTCTTTGCGCACGACATCGTAGCAATCAACTGTGTGCCACGCACCAGGAGCGAAGACGATAGTAGGGTTAGACATGATGACGTTCAAATAGACTGTAAGATAGCTAAGCTGTAGAGATATGGAGGGGAGGAGACGATAGAATAAGTAATGTCTCACAACTTAGTTGAGGGGTCCAGTTTCAGTTGAATCCACTCGTTTACAGGGTCCATATCGCGCGCAGGGTTCACGCTGCAGAACGCGAGTCAATTTTGATAAAGCAGTGGGTTTGGACTAGATTTGAATGGGGTTTAGTCGGGATATGGCATGCGTCAAACGCGGCTAACACTTCGCCGATCAGGGTTTCTCCTGGTCGAAAACAGCACAAAGTCCAGAGAGGACGATAGAGTTCAATCTGGATCGTGGTTGGTATGGACTAGTAAAGTCAAACGCGGGTTGACATGCCAACTGGGATTATCCTTCTTGAGGTATCAGAGCCTCATTGTGATGGGAGACACGGCCTAGATCCCACGAGCTGTTGTTTTGGAATTAACCTTGGAGGATTTGTTGTTAAATGTCAGGGCCATCTCGGTTGCTCTCAGAAGTACGGCTTGTCGCCAATGCTTTGACAGAGATTCACACCTCGTCACACTCGGCCTCATCCTTGTTACTTCCAACGCTGAGGTGTTGCGATGCATCTCCGATGTTTGGTTTTCCCTTGTTCGGGCTCCCAATTTATATGCTCACTAGTCCGGTAGAGATCTTATATATGTCTATGATCATTGCTGCAGCATAGACTTCCTCGGTCAGACGAACATCTTGGCCTGCATATAATTCTATCAATTTCGGGTAACATGCTGCGCTGACGCTCTTTCCAGCCTATCATCACACATGCTCATTCATGACAAAGATCAGTCAGCGACAATGTAAGCTTTGGATAATATGAACTGACATTACTCTCATTTACAGTCCAAATATAAATTACTAGCATTTCTACGGATGTTTAATATCCAAGATCCAGTAAAGTTCCACTTCCGTTAGCCTCGTATATCCCTTGCAAGCTCCCCGTCAACGGTTCATCGCTATCTTCTTCCAAACAAGCTAAGCTAGTTTGCCCCGTCGTACCAGCACAATGGCCAGTCAACAAGCCCCCAGCCAATCCAATTCAATCACCGAGTATAGAGCGTTATACAAAACATATCTCGAACATTGCAACGCTCATGACTTTGAAGCAATGCGCTCATTCTACGCATCTCCCCTCATCGTCAACGACAAGCCCATAACCCCCGAAGAAGCAACATCTTCCTTCCAACCGATGATCGATGCATTTCCAGATTGGCACTGGCATCTACGAAACCTCACCATCGAAGGCGACTATCTCTCGCTTCTCTTCAAAGTGACGGGCACTCACAAGGGTGACTTTCAAAGCTACAAAGCCACCGGCCGCAAGATTGAGACGAGCCAGTTCACACTGTACCACGTCGTCGATGGAAAGTTCGCCCAGGTCTGGGACCTGGTTGATTTCGAGACCTTGATTTCGCAGATCAAATAGAGGAAATATAATGGCAGATCAATGACATTCTTTTGTTTCAGTCTTGACCGGGAATTTTGGTGAATTAAGGAGGTGAACGCCAAACCAGGCTTAGAAAGAACGCTGGAGAATAATCCGAACCTTGCTCCTTGTTCGCCTAACAAGGATTGCGTGTCTTGCGTGTTCCAGTGACGATACCACGCTGCTGGGTATTAAGGTGCCGAAATCCCGGGTGAAATGTTTCATCTGATTCAAACATCAAACTCAACCTGCCGTCCGTCGAGCTCAACCCGCATAATTGTAAAAGCAATAATCCATTGTTGAATTATTGATGTGACTGCTCAGAATAAGGTCAAAGAGCTAATAGGAGACCAGTTAAAACCCGTTGATTTCCGACAGAACAGACTCTGGGCCCAGCCGAGACTGATCAGCACACGGGGCACTGGTTCCGCCCGCCGTCAAAGCACTAGACAGGGCTCATTAGGTGCATTTTTTTTAAGATGATAAGGCTGTAGACCCTAAGACGTCGACTGTTCTTTACGCGGTGCCGCATTTTAATGGGCCACGGCCCACGTCTAGTCCAGTCTTTCAAAATAGGTATCGATCCATATTAAAGCCGAGGGTGCAACGTCGACTCCTCTGACTCGATACGTATATTTGCTTCTTTTCTTCTCTTTTTTGCTTCTTCGATCTTCATTCTCGCAGGTTTAGATTGGGCAACAATAGGGGGACTCGTCGGGCTTGACTCGACGGAAATTGACATCTGACAAGCGCTAAATGAGCCTCTGCGTGTCTGACTGGTCGATCCGCAAAGTTAGGGAGTCTTCCCCGGTGGCGTCGACACCTCGGGGATCCAGACCCCTACCTCGCAAGCTCGCTCGCGATGTCACCTCACCTCGCAACGCCCAGCTAGCGGTTAGTTAGTGAGAAACGGACGGGAACACTGGTGAAGAAAAAAAATATCCGGGGCTGATTCAAGATTCGAAACTAAGTTTAAAGCCCGCTTGTGTTCTGGAATGCTTTTCATACTGTGGTGCCCTCATTACTTCATCCCCTCCCTCATGTGAACTCAGTCTCTCCCTTCAGCATCATCATTTTTTTTTGCCCTTGCAGTTATGGCCTCGTTGTATGGCCGTGATGACAACGCCGATCGGAGCAACGAGCTCAATGCCACGACGACAATTGTTCTCGTGCTGTCCGCTGTGTTTGTCGCTTTACGCTTCTGGGCGCGATATGTGAGGATTGGATATGGGACTGATGACTGGTTGACGCTGGTAGCCCTGGTGGGTTCAATTGGACGCCAAGAGTTGTACAATTCTGACAATGAGTTAGGTCTTTGTTTTCATCACAGGAGGTCTCAATTATGGCAGTAAGTATTACCAATAGGTTCTGTATTGTCGCTAACGGTTGGTAGTGATTGCGCATGGTCTCGGAAAGCATGCAGGGCGCGTGTCAGAAGAAGATCTAATAATATTCTTCAAGATCCTCCTAGCCTTCGAATGCATCTACGTCACAGCAGTGATGCTCATCAAACTCGCCCTCCTATCGATGTACCTACGCATCTTCCCATCGCGAAACTTCCGACTAGCCTCGGCCATCATCGCTGCTGTTGTAATTGGCTGGTGGATTGCGATTTGCGCCGTGTGCATCTTCCAGTGCCATCCGATCAAAAAGGCTTGGATGCCGTGGCTTGATTATGGGACTTGCATCAACCTCAAGGCGTCATTTATTGGCAATGCGATTCCGAATATCGCGACGGATATTGCCATTCTGTGTTTGCCTGTCGGGCCAATTTTGAAGTTGCAGGTCAATATGGCGCAGAAGCTGTCGCTGTTGGTTATCTTTTTGCTCGGCAGTTTGTAAGTCCTCATCCACCAGCTTGTGAGGCCTTGGTATTGACTGTTTAGTGTCTTGTTTGCCAGTATCTACCGATTCACAACCATCATGCAATTCGACCCCATCGACACAACATGTAAGTAGCTCAGCGACACACCCACATCACTTGACTGACATTCATAGGGACCCTCGCTACAGCTTGCACCTGGTGTGTCGTCGAAGTAGCCTGCGGAACCATCGCCCTCTGCCTCCCCACCCTCCGACCACTAATGCTCATGATCTCATCCAAGTTCGAAAGCGTCACATCCAGAAAAGACGCAGTTGCTCGCACAGGCAAGCAAACAGAACTTGTCACGATTGGAGGGACAGGTGGAAAGTCGGGGCATTTTCATCGGATAGATGATGCATATGAACCCAACTCAAGTCAAAGGGGGCTTGCGACAAGTGATGGAAGCATACCGCATGGTGATCCTAGTGATAGAGGGTCGGGTGACGACGAAGTATCGTTACACCATGGCAAGATTGACCTTGGGCCCAGATAATTAATGCATGTACACTCAAATTGAAGTTGTATCATAGGAAAAGCTTAGCGAGCCTGGCATAATACCATTTGGATTGGATACGATACTTAAGCAACAACACCAACTGAAGCGCGACTTGCACTAACTCAGTAGCCCATATCAGCCAACATATCCAGATCCTTCTGCCAATCATCAGATTTATACGTCTTCCATTCCGACCACTTCTTCCACTGCTCTCCCGCAATCTTATCCGTCTTGTCCTCCTCTTCACCCTCATCCACCGTCAGCTTGCCCTTGTCAATCGGCGCGCCCGGCAGACGCACGCCCTGCACCCAGTTGAAGAAGTTATCCGGATCCCAGATCTTCTTGATCTTGCGCAGCTCCTCATAATTATCGCCAAAGTACGCACGCTCATGCACCGCCTCGGCCACATCGCGGTCCGGGAAGTTGACAAACGACGCCACGCCCGACACCGACAGCGGGCGCAGCGCCTGCTTGACCTTTGCGATGAAGCCGCGCATGTCACGCTCCATCCACTTGTCCGTCCACTCGACCGTCACGTACGTGTGGAACACGGCGCTGCGCCAGAAGAAGGCCGTGTCGGTCGGTTTCTTCTCTGCCGCTTTGCCTCCCGAGTGGATCCATGTGACCAAGAAGTTGACGTTCTCTCCGGTGAAGTTCTTGCGGAATTCCGCCATGAGCTCTCGGGTCGCTGCTGTGACCTTTTTGAGAATGGCGGGGTCCTTGTTTGTGAAGATGAAGGAGCTGTATAGCTCATACGACGCATTGGAAGGATAGGCTCGCTGCGTCTCTTCGAGCCACTGTCCGACGAGCGTCTCGTACAGGAACCGGGTGGATTTCTCGGGCAGCACGCGACGCTTGAGCTGTGTGCTGAGCTCCGTGTTCTTGATATACTTGTCAATGATGCCGTCATATTCCTCCTTGCTGCCGTCAAACGCGATCGTGAACCGCACGCCGCCCTTGTTAGACTGTCGAAGATCGCAGATCCAGGTGCTGTCGATAGTCAGGTTGTTCGGCCAGTCGGTCACATAGAACTCGTCCATAGTCTTCATGACGTCGTCCGTGAATCCGTTTTCGGGGAACCACTGATATCGCCCAGCAGTCACAATACCGCCTTGGCTGTTGAGCTGCTGAACTCTGAGCTTGAGGCTGACCATGACTCCAAAGTTGCCACCGCCGGCACCACGAAGGGCCCAGAAGAGTCTTGCCTCGTCGGATCCCGGAGGATCCCTCTCTGAGACCGTCACGAGGTCACCGTCGGCCGTCACCAGTGTTGCTTCGACAAGAGTATCGGACCCCATTCCGAAGCTTCGAGTGAATGGGCTAAGTCCGCTCCCGAGGATGAAGCCGCTTACACCAACGGTCGGACATCGGCCGCCATTAACGACGAAGCCATCGTGTCCGCCGTCGATAAGCTTCCCGTAGACGTGGCCCCACTGACAACCAGCGTCGAAAGTGACAGTCCGGGTGTTCATGTCGAGGTCTACCTTCTTCATGCTCCGAAGGTCCAACGAGATACCTTCCTCTGCAGTGGAATGGCCCGCATACGAATGGCCATTGCACTTGATCGTGACCTTGAGCTTCTTCGCCTTGGCTTCTCTGATGACAGCTTGAACATGGGCAGGAGTCTCTGGACGAGCCACAAATTCCGGTCGTGAGAAACGGAATATGAGGTTGGAAGTGGCTATGGCCTTGTCATACTCGGGCTGCCCACGTTCGAGGATGGGGACTTCCTGGGTCTTGAGAGCTTTGATAGAAGCTTCCATGATTGAGTTTATCCTTTCTTTTCCTTTGCAGAGATCAAAAGCTTGGGGTTGTTATGAGTACGAGCACGTCCAGAGGTCGAAACGGATGTCCGTCATTCGGATACTCGGTCCCTACGGATGAACCGCCCTGTGCAGTTAAGACAAAACTCTCAACCGGCTGACGCGGGGCATGGCGTTCGGGGGGAAGCCCACCCGTGTGTGATATATGCAAGGGAGTCCTTCTTCTGGTAATGATTGGTGATCGGCGCGGCCCGAGCCAAGCTCAATGTCAATTTTCCGGAACTGATCAGCGCATCAGCTGTCCCATTAGAGTGCCTGACGACAGCTGAATACCCTTTAGGTGCGTGCAATTGGTCGCTTCACGGCTCGATGATTGAGGTGGTGACCGTTTGGGTAATCCGACATGGTTTTGGCGTAGCTGAAAGCTGCGTGTGAATGGAGTCTTATCAGCTGCCTGAGCCTAATCTGGTGAAACCTGCATGCAAGTCTCGAGGTGGTGTCTAGGTTCAGTCTTGCAAGACCTGGAACTAGAGACGTCATCACAAATGAGACGCGAACCACCTGAAGAGGTATTGAGCCATTGGCAAATGGTATAAAAAGGGTGCAAATGTGCCCAACGAACTCGGGTCTTTCTCTCAAGCCGGTAGTGTCGAGACCAATTGGTGAGAAGATTGCAAGGTTGACCTCTTCCCTAACTCTGTTGAACAGCTTCTTCTCTTTGCAGTCGCAGCCATGTCCATCTTCCAGGATGCCCGCAACGGGACCCTTTCAAAATACAAAATCGACACTTATCTCAAAACAGACCCCAACATCCTTGAGTCCATAGATCCCTCCACCGGCAATACGCCTCTTGGGACTGCCGTCGTCGCTGGTATTCCCAACGTTGTGGAAAATCTCCTCAAGAAGGGCGCCAAGGCAGACGCACCATCCAGAGATGGAGAGACTCCCCTGCTCCTCGCCACTTGGATGACAACCAAGGAGCGCCCCAGGATCGTCCAGCTGCTTCTTGCCTCCACTCCCGCTGGTTCGGTTGACAGCACTACCGATGCCGCTGGGAACAAGACACCTCTCATGTTTGCCATTCAGAAGCGCGACATCCAGTCCATCCGGAACCTGCGCCGTGCCGGTGCTTCTCTGACCGTTAAGAACGCCGCTGGCACCACGGCTCAAGATGACGCTGTCGCTACCAAAGACATGGCTGTCGTTCGTGCCCTCGATCCCGACAAGGAGCGTGGCCTTTCTGGAATGGTCACCGACATGGTCCTCGCTTTCCTACTCTACATTGTGGCTTGGGTGAATGGTGCTCTCGAAGACGCCGTCCGTCGCGCATCAGGCCTTAGCGGCGAAGATAATCCTCAGATTGACGGTGTAAGTACCAAATGGCATCACGTTACCGACTGGTGATAACAAAGTTTTACAGAAAGTGAACAAAGGCCTCACCCCAAACAAGAACCAGTTCCAGAGAAATGTCGACAAGTATGTCAACGAGAATCCAGTCCTCAAGAATTTCTTCAAAGACCGTCCCGACTTCATCCAAGAAGTTGCCAAAAAGGCGGCGAATCTGGAGAAGGAAGATGAACCTCTTGGCGACAAAGATACTCTTCCAAAGACCATCAAGGTGTCGCTGCACCAGCAGGTGATTTACTGCGGCAAGTTCTCCCAGACCCAAGCTGTCAACACTCTCCTCGTGAAACTCAGCTGACCATGAAAACAGACGACAGCAGCTCCATGAAGCGCGAAGGTCGCTGGGCAAACCAGAAGGCACTCATCGGACGTATCGCCAAAATCACCACCAAGATCCTCCCCGACGGCGAAGGTGTCGCTTTGCGTTTCATCAACCAGGATATCGACAACTCGTCCAACCTTACTTTCGACCAAATCAGCAACATAATCCAACCTATGAGCTGGCAGCCTGACGGTGACACGGATATCGGCACCAACCTGAAGCGCAAGATCCTCGAGCCGCTCGTGTACGCCAAGATCGCCAACAAGACTTTTGATCGACCTCTGCTTGTATCCATCAGCACTGATGGTATGCCCGAGCCGGAGAACAAGCAGGAGCTTGCCAATGCCATTGTAGAGTGTGGTAACAAGCTGGAGGCTGCTAACCTGCCCCGTGGAAGTATGGCTTCCCCGACCTTGCAAGCCCTCTGTTGGGTTATTCTTGCTGACCGTGTATTGCCAGGTGTGAAATTCATGATTGGTCAGGTCGGAACAGCCAGCTCTGCCGAACAGTTCCTCGACAGTCTTCGAGAGAACCAGTCCATCAAGAATGTGACTTTCGTGACCTCAGGTAAAATCTCCCTTCTCCTCTGGTGGTTGCGACATCGACACTGACCTGTAGCAGAGAAACTAGACGAGAAATTCTCCGAGTTCAACGAAAACGAGGGCAAGCTCGATCGCTGGGTAAGTGTCCGCCCGTTAGACTGTGTCAATCGAACTAACACGCTCTCTTAGTTGATCGAGACTCTCTTTACGCCCCTCGCGGATGCCGACACTGGCAATTAATCATGTCATGATCACGGTGAGTAGTGGTGCTATGGGTTTGTTGTGTCCTATGAAGGTCTTTCAGACCCTACAAACTGCTTTAGCCGAGACTTGAACGGGCTTGGACGGCACGGGTTAGGTAATGATATTAATAGTTATGCCGAGCGTTTTGCCTGGTGTTACTTTAGATACGATACAAAATATGTGACTAGTTTTGCTTTGATTCTCGTCTCCTTTCAGTGCCATGCTGGAAAGAGACTATCACACGTTGTCGCTGCCATGAAATGAAAGTGTTCGTGGTCTACAGTGGACTCGGACCGGGCCGTCGGGCGGGGTCCGATTGGGTTTACTAGCAGTTCATGGGTTTCGTGACATGGATGAACCAAAGGAGGACATGACATGCATGATTCAATGGATTGATACGATTGAACAAGCTTAAGTCGGCGAAAGATCAGAGTCGACAACTGCAGACAAGTACTTAGTTAAACCATCCATCTAAATGATGCTGCTGTTTATTTCTCTTGATGCTGACGTTCTAGTCCACATAAAAACGATGGCGCATGTGAGATTCCAGATGAAGCGCCTCAGCCATGAAATAGCCATTGTTCAAGTGCTGTTCTCTGTCTCGAGGGTCAAGCCAGTGTAACCGTGCTGTCGTCTGCAATGCAGAAGACAGTCGGTACCGGGCCGCCGCGGGGCAATGCTCCTTATCGATAAGCCCACTCACCGAAGCTCACCACGAAATTCGAAGTCAATCGACCCACCATCCTCCTTCAAACAATCCAATGCCTCAATTGACACAACAATAGCCATGGCGCTCCCTCTCTCTCGCTGTCGCGCCTCTCTGCGCCTCAGCACATTCACTCGATCCTTAACCCCCTTGTGCACCCGCCAATTCCTCCCCCGAAGCTTCAGCAACTCCCCCATCGCCTACTCAAAAACTCAGCCCACCAAAGACGACGTCCTCAACCTCTGGGATCAGTGTACGACGACTTCAATGCCCGCTAGGTCGGTGCTAACGTGCGCCAGATAGCAATGCGGGTATACCGAGTACGCCCGGTGTCAATGGCCAGTATGCGGGGTTCATGAATAAGAGGAGAAACATGTCCTCGAAGCTCTCGTTCGCCGATCTCGTTCTACCGTCTGGCGAGGTCATTCAGCTATGCGCCGACTCAACGAAATACCCTGAAGCATCTGCACTCTTTCGAAGTATACGCGCCACAAGTCCAGTCGTCGTTAGCACCGAAAGCGAAGCGAGCCCAAGCCCAGACACCGAGAAGCAACCCTCCAAGCGAACCTTTTACGTCAAAGACATCCGGCCATTGAACGACGTACAGCAAAACCTCATTGTAACACCCGACGTCATATTTCCCGACACCAAGCGCCATTACCAACTCCGCCACCACCCAGAACTCCTAGCACGACTCCAATTCCGATCATGGCTCAAGGGACAATTGACAGCCGGTCTACAAGAAAAGGGCTTCACCGACATCGAGACACCAACACTATTCAAGTCAACGCCCGAAGGCGCACGGGAATTCCTCGTACCAACCCGCCGACCCGGTTACGCATACGCCCTCACACAAAGTCCCCAGCAGTACAAGCAGGTCCTCATGGCGAGCGGTGTTTCGCGATACATGCAATGGGCGCGATGTTATCGTGATGAGGACGCTCGTACGGATCGGCAGCCTGAGTTTACGCAGCTTGATATGGAGTGGGCGTTTGCGAATGCTGGGGTGGTGAGGAAGGATGTTACGGATATTGTGCTGCGGTCGCTTGAGGCTTTGAGGCCGGCGCATAGCTACAAGGACATCCGGGGGAGTCGTGTGCCGGTGGTTTCGGACATTCCTGAAGGTTCTCGTCCTGCCGAGGAACCAGTTCAGCACAAGGTCACGACTTTGACGTTTCAGGAGTGTATTTCGATGTACGGAACCGATAAGCCAGACTTGCGGCTCCCGGGAAGAGTACGTCGCATCGTTCCCTTGTCAATCTATCACTAACACTTCCAGATCCACGCGATACCGAACGAAATGTGCGAACAGTTCGCCAGCATGATGACATACCTCAAAGACCCCCTCATCGAAGCCTTCCACATCCCCGTCAAAGATCTCGAAGACGACATTCCACGACCAAAGCGCTTCACCGAAGAGTTCATCGAATCATTACCGAAACACCTTCGTGAGAACAAAGAAGGCATGCCCGTGATACTAGTCTGCGACTCGCGACAACCCCGCGGCGGCTTCTCTTCCCTCGGTGTAGAATGCGATGAAATCGTCAACATCGCAACAGGCGGAAAGGGTGTTCTAGAGGGTGACATTCTCGTCTTCCAAGCGCGCGAGAAGCCAAAGGGTCAATACTACCGCGCCTCCACGGCAATCGGCGAAATCCGCAACGAACTGTACAAAAAGCTTCTCGCCAACGGTCTAGTAGAAGACCTCCCCGCACCTGGTACCCCAGAATCAATGCAATTCGTCTGGGTAACCGACTTCCCCATGTTCAAACCCACTGGCGAGGACAACGACCCAGGCCAAGAAGGCGCCGCTGGCATCGCAGCAGCACACCACCCCTTCACAGCCCCCAAATCCAAGCACGATCTCGAACTCCTCTTCGCAGACCCCCTACAAGCCAAGAGCGCAGCATACGACCTCGTCCTCAACGGCGTAGAAGTCGGCGGCGGCAGCGAGCGTATCCACATCCCCGCCGTGCAGGAGTTTATCATGCGAGATATCCTCAAGATGAAGGATAGCAGGATTGCAGACTTTGCGCATTTGTTTGATGCGCTCAGGGCAGGATGTCCGCCGCATGCGGGGTTCGCGCTGGGTTTCGATCGGTTGGTTGCGCTGTTGACGGATACGACTACTGTGAGGGATGTTATTGCGTTTCCGAAGACGATGAAGGGTGAGGATCCGTTTGTCAAGGCGCCGACGAGGGTTACGGCGGAGCAGCTTGCGCCGTATGGGTTGCAGCTTAGGGGGAAGCAGTGATGAATGTGTGGATGTGTTGTATAAAAGTGAAGATGGATAGAATCGCGACTCATTGTTTGGATACTGGGTATAGAATTGTATATCATTGTAGATGAGTATGTATCATAGAACAAATGCATCAGGTCACAGGCATGCTTTCCGAACTGGACAAGTACATTCACATTCATCGTGTCAAAGCAATTGAAGGTTCGTATACGTTGAATTGTTTCTAAGTAGGTCTTTGTCGCTCATGATCCAGCGTCAATCCATTCCCATTTCCCAACCGAGCCATTCCCGACCACACATTCTAGATGTTGCCGTTCTCTATGCTCCAGTGTTCCGTTAACTCCGATGAAGTCCATGTCGCGTAAGGTATCAAGGTGTCGCAAGTAAAACAAGTCGTCAAGGCTTGGAAGCGCTTAAGCCATGAAGGCAAAGACAGCAGCACCGACAGCCGCCATAAACGCAACAACACCAGCCTGTCCACCCCCAACGGTGGCAGCACCATTATCGTTATTCGCAGCCGCACTAGCACTAGCACTAGCCTCATCAATAGCCGTGCGAACCTTTGAGCTCACGCCATCGAAAGCGGTGCTGGCGCGCGACGCAATCTCAGAGCCCTTGTCGCGAGCCTCAGAGGCCTGGCCCTCGACCCAGGTCTTGGCGTCGCCGCCCTTGTCGGAGGCCCATTGCTCGGCTTCGGAGTAGTGGCTCTTGACCCAGTCGTCGACGTCCTGGCCGGCGGCGGAGGCCTTGCCCTCGGCCCACGACTTGACGTCGTCGGGGATGATGTCGCGGGGGAGGACGGCGGGTTGGGTTATGTGTGGTTGAGGGGCTGCGTTGCCGGCGACGAGGGTTGCGGCTGTGAGGAGGGCGACTTGTGTGTAGAGCATTTTGAGTGTTGTTTTGTATAGGTGTAGGTGGCGGTTATGTGGTGAAGATGTTGTAGTTGTGAGTTGGTTGAGTGTTGGAAGAAGAGAAGTAGTTGTTTAGGTGAATGATTGAGAATGATGGAGGAAAGAAATGAGAGCAGCACCTCTCCTTGATATAGCTCTCAGATCCCCTGCCCTGCCGCCTCCCTCAGCTTGATTGCTTGACTTGTCTCCTGTCATTTCAGGCCCTGCATGAAGGTTCTAGCGCACTGCGTCATGTCCCACCCGCATCACCCAACCACAACCCGCTATTCACCTTCATCCCTGCGCCGATCTTGGACCGTTCCTTGGTCTGCGCCATCATTTACATGTCATCACCAGCCGCAATTCCATCATCGGCCTCTCAGGTGTAACCCTCAGCTCCACTCCTTCTGTTTCACTGACTCTCTTGTGGCGATGCCATTCCGCGCTGTACCTGGGACTTAGGCTTGTTTCAGTATCGTGTGCTGCTATTTTGGAATACATGTATAGAACAGGTTGGCAGCCACGCGGCAAAGTGTCGTGTGCTTGGCCAAGCCTCAATTCCGCTCTGCGGTCGGTGATTTTATTGGCGTTGGTGCTTATTCAGATCTTTAATCTTAAACGCGTTTTACCCCGGCCTTCTCTAAGTTTCTTGTAGATAAACTCAAATTACCTCCACTACCGACCGGGGCCCGAGGCCTCCCGCGGGACCCAGCGGCAGATGATCATCACAGAACTTGACGGTTTGCATCACTCAGAATAAAGAGGCAAAATTGCCATCTTGATCGCTTGTTGTCGGGAATTTCGGCGGATTTGCGACGCGTATCTACCTGGCACTGCCATCGTGTTACGTCGCTCAACGACATCACACCGCCGTTGCTGCCGTAGAGTTGGGGGAGAATAGTCACAGGCTATGAGATAAAACTGAAAGCCCAGAAGCCTTCAATTATGAATGATCTCATTTCCATAAATGATGGCGCTATAAGAGCTTGCGACAAATAAACCGGCGCCAGTCGCCAGTGGTTCATAAAGTGTCAAATAAATTTCCAATAATAACAAGCTTGTATCACCAAGTACTAACATAGCCATTTTTGCGCCGCCCAACCGGCCTCAACAGCTGTCCTACTACACCAAACCATTTTACGCGTAAAACATTTCCGCGTAATGAATGAAAACCTTGCGCTACAAGATACAAAAACGCGAGTATCCTCCTAGCCTCCTCACCTCGTGAACCATTCGCCATCCTAAGCCGTCAATCGCACGCTACCCTGGACCAATTCATTGGCTTCTGGGCTGAGCTGGAACCGGGGGTGTTTGGTCTTGACATGTCGGTTTTTGTTGTACATTCTCGGGAATAATCGGCCGCAAACATCACACGGGATCTCTCTGGACAAGCAAGAAATTAGTTAGATGGGCGGTCACAAAGGATAAATAGAAGAGGCAACTCACCGGCCTGGGATCAATCTGGGTCCTCTGCGTCGACCTCCACCGCGGGGAGGCGTTGCCCGTGGAGGCGTTGGCGGTCTTGAAACAGTGGCCGTTGATTCGCAGACTGACTGGCAAAAAGTCGCAAAAGCTTCTTCTTCAAGTATAACCCTCTTTAGAACTTTTTAGTCTCATGCCACTCTCGTTTTTGGGACCGATTACCCACTTACCCGTCCAACGCATAGCATGTACTTCCGCAGCTCCTCTGGACTCTGGAGATATCCCAGCTCAATGAATCTCTCCACGATAGATAGTATTGCTACCATGGCTGGATTTTGAGATGCATCATAGCTCTTTAGGCGTTGCGCACAAGTGTTGGCCACATTTTTAGCCTTAGACCCTCCTTGAGTAAAGGCGACACAAGAGTACAAGTCCTTGGCTGTTACCCCACGCCCCGAGAAAACGTGGAGGAGATCCCCACAATCTGTCAGGAAGCAGATAAGGTTAGACATGATCGCTGATCCTTGCAAGTCCTCAAGCGTACTTGAAGTTCGTTGCCAGTTCTCAACGCCAATTGTAACCGACGAATCGGGCGCCGCATCAAGCTCCCAATTCGCATTGGAAAAATCACGGAACAACCATCCATCATGCATAAAGTCGAGTACAGGTGCTGAGATTTGGGTGGCTGCGGTTAGTTGAATAGAAGGCGGCCCCGGCCTGATGCTTGGCGGCATCTGGGAATTGAGGGTATCGTCAATTGAGACTGGGGACACCTGTGACCAAACGACAGCAGCCAAATCACTAAATACTTGTCGCTCTTGCGGATCGCGGATCGCATTTCTCCAGACTTCAATGTCCCGGAAATTCTCATGGTTTCGCAGGCAGCATGAAGCAATGTAGGACAAACTGCAGAGCGAGAAGACGGCATTCAGGGTATCTGGCTTGGCGCCAACCAATACATTGCGAAAAGTGAAGATAGCTACCTCATAGAAGTGTATCGAAGAGTTAAAAGAGTTGAATAGGGCAGTGAAGCTAGGTGGGGCCTCAATAGAAGTAATTTGTCGAAGGCGCTCCCAGTAGCGATCGATTTGATGGCAGAGATCATCGTGAAAGGTGGCCGCGGTCTCGGAGCTCGTCTTGTCAAAATAGATGAAGCATGCGAGCAAGCCATCGATTGCCGAAATGGCATCCTTGTATGGGCTATTGTCCTCCATAAAGGCTGTAAGGAAAAAAATAATTTAGGGCATGAATAGGAGTTGAGTGAATTTGTTAGATATGGCTTTTCTGTCTATATTTCGAGATAGAGATGGAAGAGTTAGAGCTCGACTTATTAAATAACCAAAGGAAAATGTTAAGTTGAAGGTCATCTCCCTTTTGGTACATACATGTCGCAGAGCTGTGATGCGCTATGGACACCGATTGGTCAGAGGCCGAGTCTATTTCTTGATCGTTGGGATTTCGCTTTCTCGGACATAATGACCACGCCGACCGTTAACTACACACCCTACACACCTAATAACTCACGCGAGTCGGGTCGACTCTGGAGTTAGGCTGGAGTTTGCCATGTGCCTGCCAGCATCTTTGTAAGAACCTGAGATGCGGCGGCGCAGGCATGAGCCCGACACCACTTAATCCAACGACGATGGGTTTTCCCCGGGGTCGGCCATAGAACAATAGATACAGAAGGCTTTTAACGAATCGAAGTCTGAAGTATAGGTAGGTACTTCAAAGGTCAGCGTGTTCGTGTACTGGAGTAGCATGCTTTGACGGACGAGCAGGTCCCGCCAATCAAGGCGGGGAATAACGTGTTGTGGCCGAGTGAAACTCTGTGCTGACGGGACTCAGATCCTACGTGCAGGTGCCGTACAGACCTCCTATGCAGTACGCATGGAGTGTTTTTAAGGTATTTGCAGGAACTCACTAAGCACGGCCCCGCCTGTAGATCTAGGGGCAGCCAGATCATTAATCAGTATCAACAGTTCTCAAGTTATCTTTTATGATGCTTAATATTTAGTTAGAGGAGCCTCACGCCATCAGGTCCGATAATACTTATCTGAACAGGCTGTCACTTAGCCGGGATAATAAACTGTAAATATAAAGCCCTTACTAGGATAAAAAGAAGGATAAAGGGCAGCATAGACCTATGTACTAAATAATACTATCCTAATTAAAGTAAAGTAAGAAAGAAAGAAAGAAAGTATTAAGATACATATTTATATAATAGATAAGAGGCAGATAAATTGTTTTTAACCATTTAAAATATACAAATGACCCAAGAAACGAGGGCGAAAGCGTCATGTGACAATTATCACAGACCCAAAAGCGTAGAGTCTTCCAGAGACCCAGCGCAAGAGGGCTTTTATTTGTACAATACATCCGACCGGAACCCAAAGCTCGCCACGGAGAGGTACCATTCATCTTAGCCCTCTGTGACTGGACTTTTAATTTCGGCCCATGTACACCTTTTCTTCCTCGCTCATCGCACCTCAGCACCCGGTACTTACAGACGCCATCTGCATGTCGCATGCACTGGAGTTTGCATGTTTTCTGGCAATGTGTCGTCTCATATTGGTCTTGCGTGTGAATTCTTCTCCGCATTGATCACATGGTACTTTACTTCTGAAGATGGTTACCTGTCAGTTTGTATACGGTCATCGTGCCTTGTGCAGACCTACAGCTTTCGCTCCGGAGGGCGATCTGTGCGCTGACGTCGTGCTACTGGGGACATCTTTGTCATATCTGTGGACGAATAAACAGCTTTGCAGACCTTTGCAAGGGTTTGGCCACTGGGAAGTATTTCCTGTGCCTCGTATTAGTCTCCTTTCTGCTGAACAAGATACAATGCATAGATACCTTTCCAACTATTATTATGTAGTCTTGAACCTCATCGATGTTCTGAAAATAATTCAGGTCCACGAACCTGCCCACAACGGCGAGTATTCCACGAGCAGATGGGTCTCCGAAGCAGTCATGTCGCCTCAGAGCCTGGGTGAAGTTCTTGACCTCTAAAGAAACATCAGAATGAGGACCTTTCGCGGTCACTCCATGTCCACTGAGAATATCGATCAATTCTCCGCAATTGGCGATGAAGCTTGTCAGGATGTTCATGGCTGCCGATTGGCGCAGATCTCCAGATGGCAGTTGGAACTCTGGGGCGTCAGATATAGTGGGGTGTGTCCCTTCAGTGCCTGCCACCTGGAAATTAGGCCCATGGAGAGAACCGGGTACCTCGAAGAGACCGCCCCAGAACGGGTCGGCAAAATCGCCGAATGATGAGATGTTGTGCATGGCTGCACCCTGGGGTGCCATGTAATCCTGGCCATCGATAAGAGAGGCTGGATGTGAGAACTGTTCTGTTTGGAGCGAGGATGCTGTCTTGTCCTCCCAAAGCCGTTGATTGAGCTCGTCGAACAGTTGGCGATGCTGGGGATTGCCAATTGAATCCCGCCAGATATCAATACCGCGGAAAGTATTGTCAATATCTGGCTGGCCCGTTCTTTGAGAACATATTGAAGCAATATAAGATAAGCTACAAAGCGCAAATACGTTCTCTAGAGAACTAGGCTCCAAACCTGTCAAGATGTGGCGAAATGTAAACAAAGCAGCTTCGTATAAGTGAGCGGGGGTAGGGAAGGAAGTAAATAATATGTCAAGGCCTGGCAGATCTTGTGTTCCTGTAATGTTGATCAAGTTCTCCCAGTAGCGTTCGATCTCGATGCGGAAGTCGAGAATAGCTTCCCAGCGCGCCATGCCCTGTAGTTGGGCGCTGAGGGCATGAGTACTGGGATTCAGCTCGTCAACATAGATCAAGCTTGCATGTAAACCATCAATTGCCATAGTAATATTGGTGTGTGATGATATTTCTACATCCATGGGCGATCGAAAGAGTGAATGGCGAATTCTATGTGGAAAATGGTAAAGAGAATGATCTTGCATATTTACTAACATTCAAAGTGCAAAACCCGTGTTAGTGGAATGAAAGTATCAAAGTCTCAGATAAGGTCACGGGCTAGACGGGCAATTGCGTGTGTCTACTCTTTAATTGGAGGGCAATGGAAAAGGTGGGCGGCCCAGTCATCACCTGGCGAATCAGATCTAGCTCCCAAGCTGGCCGTTCACTTGGAGTCAGATGCTCCCAGCAACATGCTGCCTGGAGATTTAGGAGTATCGTTGCAGATTTGGTACTATGCAATGCTTAGATTGCCAATTAAGAATTATTCATTTTCTGATAGTGAGCCCGAGGACATTATGTTCGATATTCCTATCTGAACGGCCTGTCACCGGCTTCGACACCAAACCACAAACACAAAGCTCACCAGGGCAAAAGAAGGGTTGAGGGGGTAGCGAAGATCGGCATAACTGAATGTCATTATCTCAATTGAAGGAAGGCGAAAAGAAGACAGTGGTGTAACTTTTTATATACACACGCTCATATGCCTAGGTAGACTCGGGCTTGCCATTAGGTACGTCTATAACAGAATGCTCTCAATCGCAGGCCCTGTCAGACAATCGCTGCCATACTCACGCTTGTGAACATTATTCCGGTGTCGCTGCATATTGTTCTTTCTCGAGAACCGTTTCCGACATATGGAACAAGAAAACCTTCTCCTGGGATGCAGTATGTTAGTTATCGTAATCTAAGCGGGCTATTATTTGACGTACGGCTCTGACCCTGCGGTGTACGGTGTAGAGGGGCTTCTGGAGCCTGAGGGTGAAGCCATCCCCAGGGCATTCACGACCAATGGACAATACTTCACATATTCTCTGTCGGGCAAAATTTCCTAGCTTTCGTGTCAGCCGTGCGATGCTTATCTTCACATTTGCGTCCCTGTACCTTGCCAACAATGATCATGTAGTCTTGAATATCTTCGGGGTTTGGAGGTACCCGAGCTGGACGAATGTATCGACAACGCAAAGAATACCAATTGAGAAAGGGTCTTGAAACAATTCATCTTGCCGCATGCGTTGCACGTATAAGCTGACATCATTGTTCTGGGCCCTTGCCTGATTGAGACCAGACAAAGGTGCATACTGGTGCTTAGCCGTTACCCAACGCCCAGAAAGGTTCTGGAACAGATCTCCGCATTGCTCCAGAAATAGGGTGAAGTTAGCGACAAGGGCCGAACCGTGTGGATCTAACGGGACTAAAGTTTGTAACCCTGTCTCCCCAATAAGGGTGTAACGGCAGTCGTTCTGCGCTGCTTGGTCTGTAGGCTGGAAATCTGAGAGATTAAGCGATGCGGGGGTCGCATCACTGTATTCTAAAACCTCCCCAATGAGGATGTCTTCTCGAAATGGTGGTTCAAATGGGGCATCTTGGTACATGGCCAGGAAGTGGAGAGCATCGTTGTAATCCGCCGCTGCAGGGTCTAAGAAGGTCGAAGGCGGGGCGGGGGTCGTTATTTCCGGAAACAACGCCCCAATCAGATTGGCAAATGCTTGCCGATGATCATATCTGCCGATGGCCTTTTCCCATTGACCAACGTCAAGCCGAGTATCACTGATCCCCGATATATGGTTGCTTCTGAGATGACGTGACACCACGTGCGACAAACAGAAGAGAGCAACAACGTCCCCCAAAGTGCTTGGGGGCCGGCCAATTAAAGAGCTTCGAAGCGACAAAACAGCGGCTTGGAAGAACAAGACAGGGCTTATGAGAGAGTCAAGGGTATTGTCGATACCATTCAGGCCTAGTCGGGGAGCCAGCCCCAGAATGTGATTCTGGATACTTTCGAGATTGACCCAAATACTATCGAGACATCTCCACGATTGGACTGCGGGGGCAAAAAGACCAGTGGCTCTGTTTTGGGTAGTGGCTTGTTTCGCTGCACTGAGATAGATAAGCCCAGCGAGGAACCCGTCAGCTGCCGAAAGCGTCTGCAGAGAGACAGCTGGGTTCACCGACATCACGCCCATCAAATACTCAGAAGGCAAAAGGAATGTGTGAAGAGGAAAAGAGAGTATGATGCGTTGGGATTGGGAAGTGAAAGATGTAAGTACAGAATCAAATTGTTTGATGCTGGGTAATGTCTTGTATTTATAAAAAAAGATTGAGAACGGTGGAATAGTGATTTTTTTTGTGGCTCGGGCCTGCCCCTCCATTCCCAAGGACACGCTTGACTTTTAAAATCAATCTGTGATGGAGGAAGAGAGAAGGAGACACCAATACGTATTCACGCTAGATATAGTACTAGGTTGGCGGTTGGATGCAACGCAACGCAACGCAATTCATGTACAAGTACTAATGTACAACGCAGTCAAAGATTAAGAAATGATTTTATGGGGCGGGAGTGACGGAAAGACACCTCATTAGTGGCTGACTTGTTTAGTGCATCGCGTCGCATCAGTCAGGGGCAGAGGGGACAATGAACCGGGCGTGAGAGAGGCCCCACTAACTCAGGTGCAAGCTGGCTTGCTCAGGGACGCCACTCACTTGACTTCCTCAAGCACTTGCGATGGCGGAACTTGGGTCTTCAATGGACCTGTAGCTTAACTTTTAGGCCTCCATAGCGCCCTAAGACCTCAACATTCTTCCTGGGAACGGGAGTCTATTTGCAGCTCTGCAAACCCACAGTTATGGCATTGTCAGTTGTTCACAGCCACCATCTTGCCTAAAAAGAATAAACCTTGATGGAATAAGAACAATTCTTGGGAGTTTCTCTCAATTTGCAGTTTCTGACGCCTCACGTAAATAGTCAATGTAGAAATGTGGTTTGACGCATTGTGGGATCGAAGACTGAGTCGATGGAGTTGTACCCTGTCGTATCGTCCAGATCGTTGACTGGGTTGTACGAGTTCGTCTGGGCTCTGGAACAAAGATAGCTTCGTAGACAACATGACATTACGACTGTCAGCCGATGCAAATGTGGGCGCCGACTGGAAGTTCGGCCAATCATGGCAGTTGTCTCACTTTCTTGAAAGTTACCTCGTCCTGGGACAACTCGAGCTCCCGACCGTTCCTGGACTCTGTTGTATTGTAGTGGCTCTATCATTGCAGCGTGCTCGAGCTTGTCATGCTCAAGGTCTCTTACATGGGGTTTTCGCCAGGATCCCCTTGTGTCATGTGTCAGTGCGTTTTCAACCCCCATTACCATGCCGAAATTGGGCAAGCGTTGGACGTTTTCTTTTTTGGCATCTGCAACACCTAATGCAGCCCTGGGCCTGGATAAGGGCACGAGATTCTCTGTGGCCCCTGTCAGTCGTGAAGATCTCCGAGATTGTCGATACACATAACCTGCCACTTGGTCAACGCCAAGACGAGATTTTGGTGCGTAAGACTGAGGACGAGCCAATAGTCTTTGCAGGCGCCGGGTTGCGGGGCCCAGTTCTCGGTACCGTCAGTGTGCTGGGCGTCTCAACGCTCCCACTTGCTCCGAGTAAGTGAGCATTAAAGGAGCTGTCTGGAGCAATGGCAAGGTCCATTGGAAATGTGACTGAGAGGGTATATGATAGGTAGGCACAGCCGACGGAGAATGCAAAATCTCGAGGGTAAAAAATATCGCCAAGTTCTCTCTGCTGCTTTAAGCTTTTAGCCCAAGTCTTAACTGCAAATCACCTTACTCATTGTATAAGTGGTTGATCAAAGCCAGTCATGTCACCAGATCAACAGATGAAGCAACAACAAGAGAAGAAATCTCGAGGTAGGGCCTTACTTAACATTTGCTACAAATATTAACTTACCAGTCACAGACTCGGTCATGCTCCAAGTTTGGCTGAACGAACCGAAAGACGTCGTCTCTTCGACCGATACATGGTCCAGTCAACGAGCCCTTGCCAGACCGAGACGCGATCTCGACTTTGTCCAATCCTCCCGACCGAAGAAGAAAGACACAGACGTAGCACCAGCTGCCTAAACTAAAAAGATGATTCAATGTCGAAGAAGGCAGCTTGTCATTTAAGGGCCTGGCCAGCTTGGTTCAACATCGTGGTAATAACGCTCTTGAGCTGGCTTGCGGTGTGGAGGTGTTTGAGCTTCTTTGCATCCCACTGAAGTCATGTATTTTAGCTGGAAATTAATAGAAATCTTTTGTGAAAATTGTGCTCTAGCATATGATCTGAAGATCTACGTGCCATGGAAGATGAAGAGTGAGCGAACCTCTTCTCATGTGATATCTCAATTGAGCATCCATCTATTCCTCAACTTTGGCAGTTCACCTCAACGTCACCAGCGCTACGCTAATTTTCTCGATGAGAGAAACGATCATATATATAAACATACAAACATGCTTGAAACCATCCTGCAGAGTCCTTATGTCACGACTCGTCATCTCCGCCTTTCGTCGCCAGCCTGTTGAGTTTTGCCATTCATCCTCGAGGTTTCGCAGCGGCATCGTGCTCGACGTCCATGATCATGAATTCTCCGTTCTCTCTGCTGTTCCCCTTGCAACCTTCCTTTGGCATGATTCTCGGTGTCGATTCATGTTGAACGAACGGTCGCTGGTGTAGGCGCGACAGTCAGGACACACGGAGAGTCTATCGAAATGTTGTCAAAACATGACTCGATGACAGTCCCGTGTTTGACATACCGTTTACCCTGATCTTTAGTGACAAGGACCTTTTTGAGCCGTGGACTTGCGAGCCCAGAGTCAATGGTTCCGGGCGTTGTTGGTGAGGTAGATCGCTGCTGGTTGATGTCTCCATTTGCGAGATGAGGCGGTTGAGGATGCGATGGAGACCCAGAGTCAGCGGAGAATAAATAGGAGGGATACTGGTTGAGAGGCGTAATAGATGCCTCTGAATGGTCGTACAAGGTCGCAGTAACTGACTGGTACGACAATTCCCACAAAAATGTGTTTACATTATGAAGATGCTCAGGCGCCGGCAGGCTGAGGGATGCTGTGTTAACTCCCACTGTAACAGCACTATGACCGCTGTTAGAGGGCACGCTTGAGGGACTTGGCGTGTCTTGCATCTTGGTGATAATATCCAACGGAACTTCTAAGAAATGACAGAAGTTAAGTAGTGAGAAGTGAGAAACCAATGATCAAAAGGAGTCTACACATAACTATTTATTCTCCTTGACGGCGTTTTCCCTTGCTTTATATCTCACATGGAACTCAAGCATTTTTTATGTAGTCGCATGTTACGAGTAACACATTGTCATGTCCCGAGTTACACAATACAATATCGTGTTACTCTCACAGCGCCACTGACTTGCTCAAGGGCCAGATACTAACTAAATCAGCACTGGTGCGAAGCATTCCCAGGGACCCAGCACTTGATTCTATTGGTGCTTTTCGTGGCCTTTGCTTCTTTGGCCCCCATCTTCAACTAAAAAAGATGAAATCGGGTGGGAATCGGCCCCTTCGGCACTTCGCTAGTAGCTTGGTACGTCTTCTAGCGGATCTTAAACCATAGCCAATCTGCAGAGTTTATTTTTGTTACTGTACATAGTCAAGTGTTTTGTTTGAAGGTGGGCTAGCGGAATGGTACCCTTGCTGCCTGAATGCTCAATGATATCGGGTTTTGCCTTACTCTGGGGTATTGCACCCGTTCGAATCGGTGATACCCCGTCGTCGGTGTAAATGAGCCCAGCGACGCGGTCAAGCAACGACGGTCAATCGATATGACTTTTTGCAAAGTAGCAGCAGATTGTGACACCGCAAGGTGGGCATATACTTTGCTTAGTCACATAGCAGAAATATATTTAGTTGATAGTCCTTTTACCTATGAGATAGTCGATTTGAAGCCCAAAAGCGGTCAAGCGATATGGTGTTGCTTAGAGTAACGACAGGTTAAGACACTCTACGGCAAATCACTACATACGCTGCACTCAGTCGCATAATGAAAACATATCCAGTTGACAGTCCTTTTATTATAACTAACTACATATCAAAAAGTCAATTGCTCAAACGCCCCAGGTCCCTAAAACTCACTAATATCGATCGTCGCTCAAATGGCGAAACATAAATGTATACAAGTTTCGCTGACTTTCCTGATAGACACATGTCAACAGGAGCCAATTTGGCGAAAGAAAAGCGATGGCAATTCCGTCGCTATACCAAATTCCTCCTCCAGGCTCGCTAATTCCCATTGTTCTGCTCGCTGTGTCGCGTATTCAATTTGTCGTTCGCCTCCACGCCAAAGGTGTCGTTCACCAAGGCAAAAAGAACTCTTTAAGGATTTGAACTTGAGACTCTATTTTCCCTCGATTGCTTTTTCAGCCGTTTCCCGTGGACCGTCTGCTGGTGTCGTTTCATGTTGTGTTTACGGTCGGTGATGTAAGCGCAATCAGGACAGGGGAAACGTTTCCTAGTAGGGCATAAGTCAGAAACAAATTTCTAATAGAGTAGGTAGTGACGCAAAACAAGTACCTGGGCTCCTGGAATTGGGCAGATGTGATGTCCTGGTTGGGTGAGCTTTGGAACCGAGCTTCCATATTCGTGGGTGGTTCTGCTGGCAATGCGAACCCATACTGGTTTAGGGTGTCTTGGTTAGGGAACACCTGAGTCTGCAGGGAATAGGGAAAAGATCTGGCGTTAGACCTAGATAAACAATAATCGCATTGTGAAGGAGATAGGCCGAGCAAAGGTGAATGGCTATAGGTATTTGCCATAACTGACTCAAACGACTGTTGCCACAAGTATTTGTCAACGTCGTGAAGACTCCGTGGCTCGGTGCTGTCGAATGTAAGGTGTGATCCTGCCGCTACAGTACGGCGGTGGTGGTCGTCAACAGAAGAGTTGGGAACAGCAGATTCTCCCTGCATTTTAATGCCTGTAATTAAGGTGATACTGGGGAAAAGAGTAAAACTTGACCCGGTTTGACGGTGTCTGGATGTCTGTATTTATTTCTCGACTTTGCAAGTCGTTTCAATGTCATATCCAGGCGGATTGGGCGACTTACACCCATTCCCAGTGATCGACACAAGGTAGCCCGGGTCTCGTCATAAGCTGGCCTGCAGTCGTAGAGCGAGACCTTCGAACCTTAACGGCAGTGCTAATTTAGTTGGCTGCACCGCGGTGGGTCCTACCTTGCATACTGCCAATAAGTGTTACGGAAACAAACTCAAGTCGTCAAATTGAGGTTCTGTCAGGATTGATGCTCACAGGAGCTCATTTACCCCAATCATTTTAATAGAAGTGGAAGCAAAAAAAGAGAACGTGCAGTGTTAACATGTCCAGATACTTGAAACAGATGCAAACCCTTACACTGATAGACCATGTGTCATTGCTAATCTAAAGATCAGCCGTTTTCCAGGTTGCGTCTACTTCGATAACTCTCGTCGAGCAGGTTCAGTAACGGCGCACCACTGAATATTGCAATGGAGCTTCTATATTATGTATCTAATTGCTGGTGCTCACGCCTAAGGCACGGCGAATATTTCCGCGTAAGAGAATGCTTACAACAGAGACAGCTTCAAGAATGCTCCCGCCACGAATTATGTCCCGCTGAATTAGGCACCGACTAGATGTTATTTAGTATGCGCAAGATCGATTCCTAGATCCTGACATATTATGCTAAGCAAGCCAGATCCGCAAGTCTGCGGCCAACAATTTACCCAGACAGGTATCGTATGGTCTTACAGACTCTTATGGAGTAAAAAACAAAAGACTTTACATATAATGGATCTAGAATCATCATCGGCTTGTGTCGTCGATAAGAGTCGGAAACATAGCTAATGGTTGAGGCTGGCGGAAGATGGTTCCTCGTCGCTCGCGTGCTGCATCGTGTTTTGAGGAGCAACATTCATGCTGAGGCGGGGAAGAATTGGCTATCGTGAGCTCAATAAGTTCATCTATTGATGTTCAGAGTACGGGTATCATATCTCTTTCATGGACATAAGCATATTCAGCGACGACGAAAAAGTCCCTAGGCCTGAACACTCGAATCCGTACAGGGTGCGGGGGGTCGTCTTCATATCTCCGTCTATTGGTCGCCATGTAATTTAAGATGCAGAAAGAAAACTTATACTCTTCCGCATCGTTATATACTAGGCGGACTGAGGGTGTAGCTGCGATGCTGTTAGCGGTTGCAGTCAGAAGGTATTCGGATTAGATGACTTACTGCGAGTTGGACGACTGAAGCGGGGGATTTTTTCAGGAGGAAGATTAAGGCCAGCTGAAAAGTAACTGACAAGGCTCTTTAGCACGGGTTAAACGGCCTGTCTTTCTTCCGAGCCTGATTTGGGATGAGCAGAAACAAGCAGTGCGGCTGACACGTCGTTGTCGGAGGCTTGATCCCCAAAAAGTTCGGTCGAAACCAAAGCCTGATAGCCTGCTGCATTTCACTGCAAGTTTTGAGACCGTACCTTGACTCGGGCTTCGTCACAATGAGTTGGGGAGAACTTGCTAAGTGTTCGTCCGCTCATGCGATTGGTGAGCCATTCCACTACACGGTGAAATTGCAAGAGGTAATAGAGTGAGCGAGTGTTGCGATGTTTCACCTTCTGTGAAAAAGCATTTCCCAGCTCCCAGTACCTTGGCTCCTTGTTCGGTGAGCAACATAAACGCCCAACACACGGGATCCGTGCTTTGCTGTTGGTCAGAACACCTTCCTAAGCGCCGGCTTTGAGCCTTTGGCTTGCTCGGTGCAGTGCTCAGCTTCACTCGGAAACCACGTCATTGCCCATGGTCTGACATTTATGCTCCCCTCTAGCTATTTAGCGGTTGAGCAGAGTCCTTGAGCACGGTGACTGAGCAGCTCGCAAGGGTAGTGAGTAAGCCACGAGTCAGTAACGGCGCGTTCCACGAGCGACAGAGCACATATGGGCAGGCGTAGTCGCTCTTTGCTCGTCGCATACTCAAAATTTGTTATCGGTTTGCTCGTGAGCAGGAGGGAGCTTGATGAGGTGCTGAGTTGAAGGCCATGTAACCCGAGTCGTAGAAATGAGCAGCTCGTTGAAGCTTATAAGTAGCCCGTTAACATCCTCAAATGAAGCTCTATCACCGATTCAGAAACAGGGCTCAGAGGTTTATCGGCAAACGAAGAATCGTCGCCCAGAATTGAACAGAAGTGACCACAGCCTACGCACAACCAACGATGCCTCAAGAAACAACCCAAGCTGAGAAGATCGGTTCAAACCAACCTCAGTACAACCACGGCGGTAAGCACCTACAGCAAGTCAGAAGTGCTTTACTTACAGTTGCCAAGCACTGTCCCCAGCCATGCAGAGCTGGTTGAGCCAGTCAAAACAAGCGGAACCTTGGTCACCTGTGCAGGTGCAAACACAACCAGCAAGGACTCGAGCGGCTGAACCGCCCAAGTTATGACAAAGAAAACCCACTACAAGGGACACAAAAAGTTTGGTTAGGTAGATTACTCATTGCAAGCTGGCAAGTCATTGTTTGGATGGAAAAGGTCTTGGATTCTGAACCACAACGAGGCTTGGTAGTTGATCTCTGCTTTAAATAGACCGCATCCCCCAGTTCATCCCTCAGAGCCTTGTTTACTCTTCACATACATTCTGAATCTCAGTACACCAGGGAATGCATTTGTGCTTGCTCCTCCAAGTTCGTTAGTCGCGGTATGCCTGCTCCTGCGAACACATGTAGCCTCGCCGACTGAGTTTCATCCTTCGCTACCCATCTGTTATTCCCTTCGTATCGAGTCGCTACCTCCATAACTTCACTACTACGGAGCCATTTTGCTTTGTTCTTCGATTTCCCTTCGTGGACGAGCGTGCGATGCCTCATGGCGCTGTTCTTACCCCAGTCAAGCCCTAAATACAGACTCTGAGAGCCCAAGTGTTTTACTTCTCGCATCGTTTCAGTCCATCGACATATAACCCTTCGCTGAAGAGCAGCTAACTGACCGATTCCGTCACAAACCTTCAAGCATATCCACGACCGTCGTGGCAAGTCATTGTCAAACCGAAATGCAAACCCGGTAACACCACATCTCAATGACCGAACAGATCACAGATTCGGAGACACAGCGGCGACAGAGTACTCGAAAAAATGGTAACGCAGTATGGGGCGAGTTCTTGTTGATTGGAGTAGCCATCTCGCTTCAAATTCCCGGTGAGGCTCTCGTCGTAACTGCATGGGAATTGAAGATGCTATGAATCGCTTGACAGAGGGTAGTCGCCGACCCTGTAACTGAGGAAAGGGTCGTCTGCCATTTGAAGAAACAACACGGGGTCTTTTTACGTCGCGAAATCGATATTTGCGAGGTGCTCTCTAATATAATGCTAGTATTTATGAACCTGACTCTTATCTATACTATACTCTGACATCGTAGGCTTTCCAACCGTAGACAATCCGACTCCATGCTAATCACATTTGAACCGCCACAAGTATTTAGTCACTTCACAATAGCTTCAACGCTCTACTTTGGCCCTATTCTCTCCCAGTCCTGTTTTGCCTGGTAAGCCAATCGATGAAACTTCAAACGCACCCTGTCCTTCACCGAAATGTCAAGTTCAATGCCTGTGGTCTTTGCCCCTTGTGATGCCAGTTTTGGCTTTCTTTTGGCAAGCTCTCTGGTGCCGTTTCATGTTGTAAGAACGATTGCTGGTATAAGCGCGGCACTTGGGGCACAATAAGACTCTACCAGCCCAGTGTTAGAACCCGGCATGTAGCCAGCTTTGAGCGACACACCTTTTGTTGTCATGGACCTTGGAGACACCTTGCTCTGGTGACATGAAAGGCGACAAAACGGAGGGTACTCTTTCTAATACTGAGGAAGTGTCGTAGCTATGCAGTTTGGCGTATTCATCCGGCGATTCAGTGATACTAAGGGCCTGCTGGGACCATGGCTGGGGCGAAGTGATAGGCTGCGATAGGGAGCTTGAGTGAGAGACAGTATTGAAGATCAATGACTGACCGATTTGGGCAGCAGTAGTTGCTTGGAACGATAAGTCCCATAGTCGTGTATCAACATTGTGAAGATGCGTGAGGCCCATCTCAGTCAAAATTGTTGAGCTATGATCCATGCCTGAGATACAATGCAATGGATGCCCAGCATATGCGTGGTAACAGCAGGTGGTAATAGGCACGAGCTACACATATTAAGGGTGTCTAAGTATATATATATATATATATCTATATGTTGTTCTATTGTCCCTTCGTCTCATCGCATTTCAAATAGGTGACTTCTGCAGTGAGAGTAGCTCCGTACTCATCGAGCCCTGAATCAGTTGGTGGGGCTGTCAGAGGATCAATCCCTGAAGGATAACCAACATGGGGGACGTGTCTTATAGCCTTTAGGGCATTTCGAACCGATTATGATAAGCCATGGCTTTTCTGGCATCTTGAAGAGTTGAATGAAACGTAGATCTTTACCATAGTTGGCTCCTTCCCGCAGAGGATCGCTCAGTTCCAGGATTACCCTGCGAGCTGCTGTGCAGATCAACCGTGGGACCGGGGCGGGAGAGGCTGTCGCTCTACAAGGAACATATAATCTGAACCTGCTGGGGATCGACACGAAGGAACTTCCTTAGGTTAGTCTCGTCGGACTGGGGCTACACAGAATATCATCACTTGATATCAGGCGTTCAAATCCAACGCTGGCACATCTATATTAGGGACATGGCGGTCTCTTCAGGAAAGCCCCTCCACGGTGGCTAAGCGGTTCAGTGACGCAGGCAAACTCACCTGACGTCGTTGCTACCTTAGACGTGCGATCCTTTGCTTTGCAATTTGAAGTTCTGCAGCAGCCAGACCGTGGAGCTGGCATGCAATACTTCGAATAGGTACGACGAATTTGCATCTCATTTTATCCGACGAGTGAACTGACATGTAGCAAAGCTCTTTTATGTAATATAAGAAATATTTCTCTACCAAAACTAATAATCTTCAAGGCTCAATGAGCCCGTCAGTCGGAAATCTGAGGCTTCTGTCTCCCAACAGTTCGCAGACGTTGCAGTCTCAAAGTCACCATTCCAGAGACCAACAATCCTAACGCTTCTTTCGCCTCTCGCACTAGGAGTCGAGTAATAGCATAAAAAAGCTTCAAAATTTCCTTCTCTTCTTCTTATGAGGCTTGGTGATTCCTTTGATGTGTACCATAGTGTCTCTCCATGGTGTTTTCGCCATGCTAGGTTTAACATGCTATACGAATGGTAGCTTGAGCATTCGCATTTGGGGCAAGACAATTGTGTTCTAGGCAAGAATCAGTATATACTACAGTTGAAAGAGAAAAGTGTAATTTAGAGACATACAGCTTAGCAGTTGGCACGGGGGTCGATGTCGAAGGCGTTGGACTCTCCTGAACGCCTTGGACCCGGTCACGAAACTCTTACACTGTCGCTTAGCAACAGCTGAAAATATACATGTTAACTCAGTTCTCAGAGACCTCATTCGTCGCAATAAGAGACTCACACTAGCGACACGTTCCATGTAGCTTTTGATGTGCTCGATGCTTTGCAACAAGCCCTGATCGAAGAATGCTTCCACGACGGAGACTGTTCCACGAGCTGGTAGGTCCATCGTGTACTTTTCTGACAAAGGGGCTGCCCTCTATCTGCTTCCTCTTTCTGGGTCGCTCTTGGCTCCAAGCAAAAAGACATGACCGGAGGTCTTTTGACACCAGTCGGCAGCCGGCAAGCTTGAACCAGAAGGCCTCATGTTCTCACATATACTCCAGTGCAGCTGTAAACACAGGTGTTTGTTGCAGTGTTACTAGAGTACCATCAATCGGGGTGCTTGATAGCGGTCGGCTGTGCGAGTCGTGGGTAGAACTGGCGGCGATTGGGCCGCCAGCGTTGGGTGACGGCGTCGCGTACGACACCCTGGATTGCATTGATGTCGAGGTCGGGGGTTTGTACTGGTCCTGGATCGAAACTCGGTCTCTGATATCATCATCCTCAATGGCCATGCGATATTTACCAAGGTCTCCAAGACACTCGATCCACGTATCCTCGCCGGGACCAGAGACTAATCTTTGGATCTGTCCTGCTTGACGAAGTCCTTGAGCGTCATGGTATTCGGTGCGAATGTTGTTGATAGCGGGAAGTTTGACATTATGAGAAACATCGACAAAATTTCCCCAGAGAACTTGCGCTCCCTCTCCAACAGTTCGGATGGAGGCCCACGCATTATCCCGAGCCTGATTTCTGGGGTCGGTGAAATCAGGCTGTGGGTGTGATGCACTGTTGGCCAGAGACGTATTGCACAATGAGTCCAGCCCAAGTACAATGTCGTCCAGACGGCTACTTGAGCGCCTGGCTCTCGAAACAGGTTCCGTTATATTCAGGTGCGTGAAGGCAGCAAAAACACCGTCGACTTTGGCGAGTGTGTTTCCGAGGCGTTTAGCTGCTCTTATGCTCCCGACCCCGGGGCATGAGTAAATGGGGCTGTACTGATTGAGATAAGGCATCTCTACAAGGTTTGTCACTGGCTGGTGAGAATGGGGCTGAGCTTGCGAAAGTGTAAGAGGCAACTGAGATGAAGAAGAAAGGTAAAAATGGTTCGCCCGACGCTCTGAATTTATGTGAGGGCTGGTGCTCCTCCTCTCCAGCTCACGGGACCATGCGGCTCTCCATGACGGGAGCACGGCCCGAACGGGTTTCTACACTTGATATGGGATCGGCGGGCTAGAATACCTCAGTGCATGCTCATTCTAACCATAATGAGTGATTGTGGCTTGCTCATTGCGTTGCCCAAACGCAATTACTCGTTGGATTGAGCTGGGGAGAGCCAGCTAAGCAAGATCTCGAGCCAACAGGTATGAGCCACCTCAGTTACTCATGACCTACTCATTCTGCTCACGAGTGATTGATGAGCTCAACGAGCAAATCATGAGCTTGATGAGATGTCATCACCAATCGAAGTCGCTTGACTGCGCAACAAAGTATGTGAGCAGGAGGAGTTGCTCATGGGTTTGCTGAGCTTGCTCGTTGTTGGTTCATGAGAAGCTGGTGGACTGAGAGGTGCAAAATGAGTGCAGTCGGCAGTAGCAAAGATGATGGATCTTGGTGAGCTCAATTTGCAATTGAGCTGAGAATCTCTCGTGGATTGCTCAAGTACTGTTTCTGAGCTGCTCATGAGTGTTGGGGATGGCGAGGCATTGAGCGACTGAGCGACCTGCAAATGATCTTTGAGTAAATCGGGCTTCTTGAACATGATATACATATTTTGTTAGCAGAAGGTAGAATGATGGTTCCCCAATAGTCTCATCGAACAATACATTGTCATTCAGAAACAATCCCCCACGTGCCTTCAATCATGCCTCAAGAAACTGGTTCTCGGCCTCAAACTCACAACAACGGTAAGCAAACACAGCCAATCAGGTGCCCATAAGAGTTTTCCCTTTCATTATCGAAAGGGACTACGTCAGTAATGCTTCAAACCTGGGTCGCCGAGTCGAGAGAGCCTGGGCCTTGGTCATCCGTGCATGCGACAGCCCAACAAACGGAGACTCGGCCGAGCCACTCAGCTGAAACTCCCAAGTTGTGGCGGCCAATGGCCAACTTGAGCGCCACAACACAATTGTGTTGTCGCATCGAACTCGAGAAATAAGGAAGTCGAAGTAGCGTTGGGCGTGACGCAGGTGTTGATCTAGATGGCTACATCAATAATCAATCAAATGAAGACATTGTTTAGACTTGTTCATCTGCGATGTCCATAGAGAATTGCCAGAAGCTGTTCAGAAAATCAGATATGGTTTGCTTACTGCTACGATTCGCCTTGCAGAACTGGTTGGAGCAGCCGAAACGTGCAAAGCCCTGTTTATGCAGACATAAGCAACAGACCCCGAGAGGCTGAATTGCGAGGCGCTTCACAGCCCATGTCATTGCGCACTCTACACTGGCAGGCAGCTGGTCTTCCTACATACATTAGTGGAAGTCTCATGGGGATTGGTAGACAGCAGTGCTGATTGACAGTGTTGGAAGCCACCGCTAATGAAAAGGCGTTTAATTGTTCCCTACCTTACCTTTTGTATACCCGCTGTTCCCGTTAATATCCATAAGCAGTTTCTATGTGCTCCCTCCCAGTGCTACTCTACAAATCATGTAACTAATGGTCGCTGCGCGAGTTCCTGAAACGCTGTTTGCTGCAGTCATTCTAGTTTACTCATCTAGATCCATCACTCCCTCAGTACGAGAACCCTGTCTCCGCCGTCTCGCGATTCAATTGCCTTCCGTCTCTTGTTCGATGGTTCATTGCATTCATTTGCGTGGATGAGTGCGCGATGCCTTGTGGTGTTGTGTTTCCTCTTGCTACTGTATGTACAGTCAGGGCACTGATGAAGTTTCCTACAATCATTAGTGCATGATTTCTCAATGAGCTCAGCTTCATCGACTTGCCCCTTTCCGCTCCCGCTGGAAGCTCGAATCCAGTCGCTGAACTCTTGACGGGATGTCTTGTCGTCGAATAGTAGCTACACCCAGTTAGGTCAATCCAAGATCTGCCCTTTATGGTACGAGGTTAGCTTACATCTGCTAGCCCTTCCATGTAAAACTCGATGTTTTCGATACTCTGGAGGAATCCCCAATCCACAAATGTGTCCACTATAGATATTATACCGGATGAAGTCTTGTCTTGGGTACGTCTGGCAGACAATAGCTTCTGGATATATGATGTCCGTATGTGCTTCTTCTGCGCCCATCGCTCTTGGCACCATGACTGGCAGGATGCGATATCCTTGGAGACTAAACCGCGACCAGCAAGCTGGAACCAGAATTGACCGTTGTCGTGAATGAATTCGCGGATGGCTATATATACAGAATTGGTCTGTAACGAATTGGCACTCGTTGTTATTCCCACGAGGGATCGATCGTCGGGCTCGTGGAGAGGATTCATGTCGAATTGGCTGCGAGTGAGAGGCTGAGCAACTGGACTTCCATGCGTCCGGAAGGCCAGCATATCCAGCATGGAGAAGTCGACTGAGTTAATTGAGCTTAAGTCGGACCAGATCCCCGACTCTGTATGAGGCTCGGTGTTGTACATTCGTTGTGCGTCGGTTGTCAGACCCGCGAAGCTTTCGAGGCCATGGTCACAGGCTCCAAGATCGTTTGTCGACTCACAATTGGCTAACAACAAGCTCGAACTATCGGACTCGTAAGGAAATTTGAAGCTCCATGGAGTACCTTGAGGGCCGGGGTGTTGATGCGCTTGCTGTGTGTATTTGGCCGGCGATTGCTGATCGAATGGACTGACACAGTGCTTGGCGGGAGGGAGAGATGTGCTTTCGTCGTGTTGCAGACTACGTGTAAAGTAGTAAGGTTCTCTCGAGTTCAGATTCTTAGAACTGCGGTGATTCTGACATTCAGACCAGAGATGACTGGTGAGCTGGCTGAAGGCCCTTCGTTCGTCTTCGTCTTCGATAGCGTCTCGCCATATACGAATGTCGGTTAGGAAACCATCCTGCAACAGCCTTCCTTTGGCATGGAGAATGCGATGAACAACGTAGGATAAGCCACACAACGCAAATATTCTTGCCAAGTTAGTAGGTCTCAGACCAGTCAGGGTATTGCGATACGCAAACACTCCCGCGTAGCGAAGGCCCTGGGCGTCCTCGTAGCCACTGCGTAAGTTGTTGATCACTGCTACGTCTAGGCCTCGAGAGACTTTGACGAACATACCCCATAGCATCTGCATTTCGTCTCTGACAGCTCTTGCAGAAGCCCATGCGAGATCCGAGGCCCGAATGTCATCGTTGATTGAGTGAGATTGTGTACCCAGAGAGTTGTTAAAAGGGATTGCAGTGCGGTCATTGGGAAGATTGTTGGTATATGTCAGGCTCTTGTGCGAACTTGGCTCTGTATGGTCGAGATAGATGAAAGCAGCAAGAAGTCCATCAACTTCCGCAAGAGCTCTGTCACTCATCCTCACGGAGACTAATGGTTGATCGCTGTTGTTGGTAGAGGGTGAAGAGAAGTAGTTATTGTAGTGTCTCCAGCACGTAGTATAGTCTGATGCTTTAATATATCTATCATTTATACCGCTGATCCTTCTTCAACTTTCAGTTTCCTCGCTGAGGCTGCATGTCTAGCATGTATGCCAGACAGCGGATACCTGCGTGCCCGGGGCCCGCAGTGGAATGAGAGGCGAGTCTGAACCATGATTAGGAGTGGAGAAACAAGGGCTACCTCAGTCGCAAGTATTTTCCTCCTTGTCTGAGGCATTTTAAGTACCTGAGTTGGATGTAACAAACTTGACGACAAGGGTTATTCCTAGTACCGGTCAATTCGGTAGTGATCGAACATCGCAACTAACAAGGCCAGACCACAATCGATTGTGAGCTTTTGGTGGTAAGTCACCAGTACGCATCTAATGTTATCCCCTCAGGTAGGCGCAAAAAGTTGTCTCTTGAGATGGATGCAATTTTTGAACCGGTGTATCTTTCTACCCTTGATGTATTGGTGATTGTATCACGATTGAACATTTTACAAGATTAGCAGAGACCACAGCTGTGTAGTGTATAGAACATAAATGCTGCATTTCCTATGTAGTAACATTGATATAATTCCCAGTCCATTATGAAACAAATCGTATAAGAGTAATCGCTCTCATCCCGCTCCCATACAACACAGCACCATGCTTCCTCCTCAGCCTACTTCAACTGCCAAGGAGGGGTCAGGGACAGACACACCCTCTCAGCGTCAGTCAGCCAGTCAGAATCCATGATCCGTTGCTAACATCCAGAAGGCGAGCCATCTGTAATGCTGTTAGCTTGGTCGATGGAGCCAAAACACGTCGAGGTCTGGTCCTCCGAGCGCGCAATCTCACAGGCCAATGAGAAATGCATCATGAACGCTACTTGGATCACGAAATCCTAGCATTCGCCCGTTCTTATTGTTCGCCATGAACGTACACGAGCTGTTCCGTTGAGAAGGCAAACAGAAGCTTGTTTTGAGACAATGTCCTTATGAAAAAGTAGGCTGATGGCCGAGAGGGCTGACATGGTTGGGGTTCACTGGGTCATTAATGAGATAGACTACATGGCATAAGGCTTTTATGCCATGACAAATATTCTATTGTTCAAGTATATGGCCGTCTGCCTTGACTTGTCTTACAATTAGTTCGCCATGCGTCTCAATGGGTGAGCCTCCGTGTTAAACACCCACTCATCCAGACTAATAACCTCCTCATCCTCAAACATCAGATAAAAGTATTTCAATGTCTCCGCCATCCAAAAGCTCTCCATGTAGTCTTTATGCTTGATCTCTTCAGCCCCAACATCCTCCACCGCCGCAAACGCATCATCCGTCTCAGTAGCAGCGCGAATCGCAGTCCACATGTTCCACGCAATGTCCCGAAGGTCTTCTTTGCCGGTGATGCGGTAGAGATAAAAGATAGACTCGATAGTCTCAGGTCGGAGGAGGTATGATGCTTCTCTTGCGCGGAAACCGAGAGGCTCTTTCTTGTAATTCGGGTCGAAGGCGCAGGGCTCGAGGGTTGGACAACGTTCGACTTGCACGATTTCCGGCATGAGACCGGAAGGATACGCGGCGTATGCTTTTGCGCAGCCACGGGCAAGCTTCTCGCCGATAACGACGTGGTCATCTCGTCCGAGAGCTCTGCCGCCTAGGGCATACATGCCTCCAGCGAAGCAGGTCAAATGCTCTACGCCTGTACTCAATCGCGATTCCTTGACTCGAGGAGGGAATGATGCCTCACCCAGCATGAGAACATCATCTTGATCGGGGAGCATCGGTCGGAACATCAAGTGCTTAATTCCAGCGTCTGCAGCAGCGAGATACATCTTCCCATACTTTGGTTCAAGACCCTGCAAGAGGACATATTCCTTGACGAGGTACTCGTACAGCGAGTCGCCGTTAGCGCCCATGCCAAACGTGTCATCGGTGACTTTGAATCCATCCTCAGCATTAATCTGAAGAGGCCAGAGTCCAGGAATAGCGGTCTCGTTTTGCGTTCGCTCAAAAGCTTTGGTGATGTAGTCGATAGCGTCGTAGTATTTGGGATTACCGGTCTGCTGCGACAAACGTGTGAACTCCATGCTCATACTACCCAAACTAGCAGCGCTCTGTCGTGGTTCTGGATGCCCCGTCCCTTCCTTTAGGGTCTTGAATCTGATCGTATGCGGTGGCATATGCTCCGGGTTGTCGAAAGTGCCGTATAAAAGATCTCCCAGCTCAATCGCCTTGGCCAGCAAGGCGCTCTCTCCACTGAGCTCATAAGCCGAAAGTAAACCTCCCAGATGTCGAATTGTCGTCTCAAAAACATTGAATCCATCGGCGGTCGGAATATCCCAATCCATGCGAGTCACAAAGTCAACAGCTCTGTAAAACTCCCGCTTCATACCCATGATCCACAACGTGTCGAGATTGTCGCAGATGGTCGCAGCCCACCCACCAAAAGTATCACGACCCTCCAAGCTCAAAGGCTTCAATTCATCACTTCCCCAAGCATATTTCTCATAAGACCTCCAAGTCTTTTTAAATGCTTGCTTGATGTCCTTTCGTCTCTGATCCGCAGTCTCAAGCTCACGTTTTCTCAATTCGGGATTGGAAAAGTCGTGCTGGATACGCGGTAAACTGACTGGTGAACCTCGCGGGGGCTTGGCCATGCTGCTGATGGTCAATGGATACCGGAGGGTGTGTTTGCTCCAGTCATAGCTGCTGGGGATGAATTGAATGCTAGGGCCTGATATTTCGCTGAAAAGGCAGTAGAATACGAGTAACGCGATGAAGAGCGATAACAATGCCCTGGACGGGGTGAATGGCAGACCTACGCCCATTTTGATGAAGTAGCACTCAAAAAATAAAGAAATAAAGAAATAATAAGGAATGATGCGGTGTCAATTCAAGTCACCATTGGGAAGACAGAGGGCGTGAGAATACTACCTAAACTCAATGCCGACCGTGAGAAAGATGAACAGGTGAAGAACAGTTGGGGTCAGCTACGATCTTATAACAACTAAAGGGATCGGGAACAAGGATTCGAGACAAGTTCCCCCCCACATGCTGACACGCAAGCTTCAGCTTCTAAGAATAAAACATAATCTGCAGACGCGAGATGCGCAGTCACTTTTACCGTCTTTAGTGTCCAAGTATGACATATCAGGTGGAGGAAGGGATATGCACGGTCTTGTTTCTCGTATCACTCACTGAGAAAAGGGCGATTTTCAGGGGTGCATGCCCTGAGAGTTAAAAGTCAAAGCTGCTGACGGGCTGAAACCCCCTGATTAGCCTCCAGCCAAGGAATAGTTCATGATGCCACGGATAATTTAGATGAGAAAAAGCTTGGTATTGCATCGCCAAGACTAGACTTGACGATTTTGAGGTTGGTGCTTTTACCGGATGTGATTCTAGCTTCCGACGATGTTAAGGTTAACTGAACATCATTTGTGGCGGTGCTGGTCCTGTCAAGCCACAGCTAACTTTGCCTCACCGCCAAAAAATCAAATTCTGCCACTTTTCCAGCTCTGACAAGCGCCGACGATTAATTCTTTCGCATCTCGTCGAACACACAACACAACCCGCCAAAATGTCGTCTATGCGAAATGCCGTGGCGCGACGCCCTCACAGAGAGCGTGCGCAGCCTCTAGAACGTCGAAGACTCGGTCTTCTCGAGAAGCACAAGGTTTGTAGACCTCCCAATACCCCACTGGAGCAGCTTTTGACGATTGTAGGATTACTCGCTTCGAGCCAAGGACTTCAACAAGAAGAAGGCGCAGCTCAAGAACCTCAAAGAAAAGGCGGCCGAGCGAAACGAGGATGAATTCTACTTTGGTATGATGTCCCGAAAGGGACCGGGCTCCAGGATCCAGGATGGCAAGCGATGGAGCGGAACAGTCGAGGGCGATCGGGGAAATAAGGCGATGGACGTTGAGACCGTGCGGCTTTTGAAGACGCAGGATATCGGATACATTCGAACGATGCGACAGGTTGTTGCGAAGGAGGTGGCAAGACTAGAGGAACAGGTTGTTCTGACACGAGGTTTCGACAAGCTTGACGAGGATGAGGACGACGAAGACGAGGGCAGCGACTCCGAATTCGACTTTGCGACCGCCCCGTCAAGACCTAGAGAGCCCCGAAAGATTGTATTCATGGACGACGAAGAGCAGCGCGAGGAAACAATACTAGATATCGAGGACGAAGATGGCGCGGACAAGACAGTCGACGATGACGAGAAGAAGGAGGAAGATTTCGAGCGCGCAAAGGCCCTCCGCCGCCTTCGTCGCCAATTGGAGAATGCACGAAAGAAGCTCAAGGCGCTCACAGACGCAGAGGGCGAACTAGAGATCCAGCGCGCAAAGATGGCCAAGACAGCGACGTCGGGAGGAACGACACGCAAAGGAAAGAAGATCATGGTGCGGACACGGAAGCGATAAATCATCAACGGAATCAGTATTCATTTGGGGCTTTCTTTGTCATTTCGTGTTCAGTTCGTTACGGCTCGCTAGCTAATAGATACCCTTCAAAACACCATGGGTTTATGATACAGAAAAGAAGAACTGGCCGCGCTCAATCGAATTAAGAATAAAATGTTCCGTGTCCTCATTAATACTTTGATCCTATACACTTATAACACCCCTTGAATGCGAAACCGACGCATTTGAAGCTTATCGTCAATATCCAGATGAAGCACGCAAACAGGCCCTTGACAATCTTGACGATCACGCGGATCAAAAAGGGTAATTTATCCTCCTTCTCTCGCGGCTTGCTTTTACCCAGACTCTCGTCTTGGCTCTCAACGTCAATCTCGAACGACTCCATGTGGCGCTTCTTTCGCTCATCGCGTTTGCCGATTTTGCTCAGCCGCTTTTCCTGCTTGGCTGTGAGGATGAGAGGAGGCGGTGGTTCAAATACTTCCATGGCCGGAGTATTCTTCTCATCCGCTGATGCGACGAGCATAAGAGCTGTGACTGCGACGTCGACTATGAAGTAGGACTCTATCTTTGCGGCGATGCCAGTGTCGATCTCGAGCCACCCACCGCCTGTGCCATCGCGCGTGAGCTTGGCGAGATGTTGGGGTGATTCGTTGTGCTCGAGGGTATATTCTACGCGCGACCAAGACGGTGAGCGCTCGATGGTCACGCAGAATGGTGTTGCGAGGGACGGGTGTACGAGGAAATGGTGCGAACTGTCTTCGTCCCAGACGAGACGGGCGCATTCGCGCTCTGCTAGCATGACGGACTGAGGATCTTGAGCGCGCTCGATGGCCATTTTTGTAGCGGGCGTTGGCATGAGAAGAGCGACGAGGCCATCGTTTGGAGGATGACGACGGGATTCTTCCTCGAGGGTCGTGGTGAGCGCTTCTTGCCAGTGTTTTGTATCGGTGATTTTAGTACCAGACGAATTACTGTTGTGCCCGACAACACCGCTGATGATACTGCTCGCTGAAGAACTAGCTTCAGGCTTGGGCGCTTTGTACGGTTTGTTGGGATCATGTCGTGTGAGAGTAACATATGCCGAAGCAGACGTTGGATCTATACGGAGGTTGTAGAATGGCTGTGATGCTGATGAGAGGCTATACACTGGTGCATCTTTCTCTTGAGCTAGTTTCATGCAGTACACTCTTCCCTCTGATGGTGAAGCTTGCCATCCGTTTGCGACTTTCCAGTAGTTCTTGAGCTGTTCATTCGAACTAACCGTTGGAATCAGCGGTGGTTCCTGTTGTTGGACGTTGCGATGTGGCCATGAAGATTGCGCTGATTGAACGCTCATGGGACTTATGACTGGACTTCTAACGGGATTTCGAGGGGCTGATCCGGAGGGTGTTTCGTGGTATGTCTGACGACTTATGACAGCTCGTGGCATCTGAGTTGGTTGGATCTCTGTGGGGACATAGTTCTGTTGACCGAGCGGTACTTCTGGGTTATAAGCCGGGAAGATAGACCGTAAAGGCTGCGCAGGAGCTTCACCCCCCAAAGGTGGTTTTGCGATTGAACTTCGTGATCGATCACTGCTACTTCTAACAAGGGTGTTACCCTGCGCAAAGCCAGTATCAGACCGTCCAGGGATTTGCACCGTCGGTCTAGGTCGTTGAACCTTTACAGGCTTGGGCGGTTCACTCTGCACGGGCTCGAATTCAATGGGTGTGTGAGCTCTATTCTGGGGAGTCTGTCTCGGCGACGCCGGTCTTGGTTCTGGAGACATCGCCTGTGGTGTTGCGGCCCGTCGGTCACTGGGTGTAGGAGCTCGTCTGTCACTGGGCGTCGGAGCTCTCCTCTCACGAGATTCAGAACGGCGAGGTTTTGGCGTTTGGTTCCGTGATACAGGCAGTGGTTTCGATGAGTTGGGACTCGGGAATAGAGAGAACCCGCCTGGGGTTGGAGTCGACATTCTTCTGTATCAAACAGTATATACTTTCTTCCCAGAAGAGCAGGGGTATCAATAGAGACGTCTAGGCTAGCAAGACGAAGAGAATGCCGATTATGCTGCTATCGCTTCATGATCAAAACAAATTGTCACGTAATATGTTTTCCACATAAACATAAACAACAGCAAGAATTCCCCAGAATGGAAAGCAATGTTGGTTGATATTATATTCTCCCACTCATCGCACTTTTAAGCGCTCGCATCTTGGGACTAACACGGTTAAAAATAGCATCGTGCAGATGGACCAATTGGCGGGGATGTCACACTGCAGCAGGGACCTAAGCGCCCTGGAGGCGCGACTCTCGAGAGGGGAAACTGCAGCGCTATTGGCCGGGGCGAAAAGATTTAGGTTGGGCGGGGAGTGTTTTTACTGGTCTCTGCGCGGGTGATTTGTGTGATATTGTGCGGGGAGTATAAGTCGGTAATGAGCTGAGGAGCGGTTGAGCCTATGAAGATGATGTGAGGGATCATGGATCTGGGAATAGTGGAAGGGCTGGGGATATGGAGAGAGGCGTGGCCAAAATAAACTGGACTCAAGGCTTACCAAGATATACTACACTTACCCAGGTCTTTTATCCCCTAGGATAGAGGCCTTATTTCCGTTTGACCGTCTGTGGCCTTGAAACATCGAGGTTCACCGCTTGATGCACGCAACCCTTTGTTACAGTTACATACATGAACTGCCGATTCCACCACTGAAGACTCTGTTTGTGTTTGGGGGAGAAACAGATGCTGATGAATGTTTGATAAGCAACCTGGCGGCAATTGTCACAATCTGTCGGCTGGGTTGAGTAGTTCTCTATGACGATCTTGGGCATGAGGCTGTTTGGGTATCAGTTGACAAGCATCGATGCATGCTCTTAAACATTTTCGGCGTTGGTCCTCACCCTGTCGAACTCCAGCGTTTGCATATGCTTATCGAGTTGAACTGACTCTTCCATGCCATCTCGGCATTGATCCTGATCATAGTGGTACACTGTCTTGTCTTCACCTTTTATTCTTACATTCCCCCAACGTAATACCCCAAAAACGCCACAGATGCAACAATTCATTATCATTGTCCCTCGCCCCTCGGCCTATCCTTCGCCGTAAGTCCATGTATCCTCTCCCCCCTCTGCTCCATCTCCTTCTGCCTCGACAGCCGCACGTGCTCGGGTAATCCCCACCACTCCCGCATAAACTCCTCCTGGGCCTGTGCGACTCTGGCTTTTCGCTCGCGTTCGCGCTGGCGTTCTATTCGTAGGGCGAACCACTCCTCGCGTGCCTCGTCGTGGGCGGATTGTGTGGCGTGCAGCTTCATGCAGCTGTTCATGGAGCGGTGTTCGGCGCGGCAGGCGAAGGAGACGGTGAATGTGCGGCCGAGGGCGCATGCGGCGAATGCTGGGGTTTGTCAGTGGCCTGATGTTGAAGTTGTATTTTGGGGGTGAAGTTGGTGGTTGAGGTAGAGATGGAGGTGGTGGAGGGGGACGTGCCTTTGATCTCGTCGGCGCATTCTTTTCGGACTTTTTGGTAGAATATGTCTCGGACTTGTGCTTCTTGTGATGCGGAGAGAGGTAGAGGGTTGCGAGAGGGGACTCCGAGCTTCTCCTCTGGCACCGGGGGGTTCTGGACGGCCATTGCGGCCATGGGACGAGCGCGCGAGGCTCGGAGTCGTAGGTATCGTAGATAGAGGGTCTGAGGGAGTTCGAGGAGAGATAAATGTGACGTCGGGGAGGTCGTGGTGGATCGTTGATGGCGAGTGAAGCTATATCGGACGAGAAGCTTGCGGGATCTTGTGAGGTGAGCCGATGAGCAAATTGTGGCAGAATGCCTGACCGCCTTCCACTTTGGGTTTATCGGAAGATGGACTGCACCATGATGCATAAGACTTCATCGAAGGCATCGCCAACTTGATGCATTTGTGCATTTAGATAATTGAGCGATATCCCGTCGTCTCTGTTGAGTATCTTGCAGTTCATCGGCGCCAACGATACTTTGCCATGCCGGTATCGCTCTGGCCAAACGCCACGTCTCCAATATGAAGCACAAAGTGTCAGCGTGAACGCCCTAAATGCCTCAGGCGACACAATAAATTACATTCAATAAACTTTGGCCATTGAGTTTCTATTTTGCGGAGATTGTGTTGAATTTCCAGGCACCTTTAGGCAGCATCGCTGGCTTATTGGTGTTGTCTCGGTTGCGGTGACCTCAAGAACCAGGCAGCAGGGAGCAAGAAAACACCGGACCTTAATACGGCGTACAAGGTGTTGAAATAAATTTAGCAAAAGGTATCCTAACTCTGTACTAAACTCATCCTAAACTTATACTAAATTACCCAAGTCTTTTTGTCATTAGGATCAAGGACCTGTGCTTTCTTTCCTCCCCTAGCCAGGGCTTGCTTGGATCACCATTGTTGTTGCACCAACATTGAGACTTTGCGTGAGTATCACCGTAAATTTTAACAATCATGGTACATGTTTTCCAACCCTTGTTTGTGAGTAATGCTGCTGGACTTTAAGGTATGAGTTGAGAAGTGGTGTATAAAGACCGTCCTCCTCTCCCCAGGCCTTACCACCATCCAGCTTTACAAGTCCATCACATCAGCTTTTCGCACCTGATCGTGACCTACGTCTCAAGTCTTTAAATCAACATGGGATCCCCCGCTACGATCTCTCAGAACATTGAGGAATCGTCTTCCCTCGATGGTCTGCTCTCTGATGTATCCTCCGCCCTAGACAAGCGTGCGGGCAAAGACATCTTTGCCATCGGAGGCAGCGTTGGTGATGATGGTGACTCTACTAATTCGACTGGTAACTCTATCACAATCCGCTGGGATAAGCAGGGGCATGGTCACACTCTCAAGCTACCCCTCAACAAGGATCCTGCCGCTCAAGATGCCTTCAACACCTTGTTGGCCGATTGTCAACCAGCAACCTTCGGCATCGGCAGCCAAGAGGTTCTTGATGAGGAGTACAGAAAAGCGGGGAAGATGAACACCGAAGACTTTTGTACCAACTTCAACCCTTACGAACACGGCATCGTCGATACCATCAATCAGGCCCTAGCCCAAGCCAGTGTCACTGATGCCCGAGGCCTCGGTGTAAAGGCCGAGCTTTACAAGCTCAACGTAAGCCCCTACGATTGAACTTGGGTACCCATACTGATTATACAGGTGTATTCGGGACCTTCTGGCAAGTTCAAGCCTCATGTTGACACTCCACGATCTGATCGCCAGATGGGTTCGCTTGTTGTCAGTCTTCCTGTTGAGCACAAAGGTATGATGCACAAGGCTGCGACTCTGATTCATTGACGCTTACAGGGTTCTAGGGGGGCAGCTTGCGGTTAGACATGGAGGTCGTGAGATTATTTTTGACTGGGCGCCGAAAAGCGCAGAGGCCATTCAGTGGGCGGCTTTCTTTTCTGACTGCGAGCATGAAGTTCTGCAAGTCACTGAAGGGCATCGCGTCACACTGACTTATAATCTCTTCTGGACCAACTATGGCCCGGCTTTGATGTCAGATAATCTTCGGGCTCTGGACCAAGAATCTCTTCATTTCTTCAATGCGCTTGAGAAACTACTTGAGAACAAGCATCTCATGAAAGAAGGTGATCTAAATCTTGACGCCGTCATGTTCACTTACTGATAGCAAAATCTAGGCCTCGTCGGATTTTCTTGCACCCACGCTTACCCTCATACCTCCAAATCATCCACCAATAACCTGCACCACATGCTCAAAGGCATCGACATGGTAGTCTACCAAGCCCTCAAACGTATCCTCGGTACAGCCGAAGTCGCCGCATTGGTAGACGATGAGGAATACAGACACGACCAGCAAGAGTCGATACCAGAGAGGATTGAATGGAAGAAAGAAAACTGGCTGAAGTATCAGCCAGACCAGCCAGAACCCCAAATCACGGAGGCAGAGCAGGACATCTTGGACAATAAGCTAGCTATCGGTCGCCCTCTGAGACCTGCCGTTTATTTCTGGCATGATTATGACAATAGACTTGACCCAGCTGAAGTCAATGCTCAGTATGGACCTGACTGGCAAACTGACAGGAGGAACTTTTATCCTCGAGAAGACGTCACTTGGTTGAATGGCCCGCCTGGGGAGGAGGTTTCGAAAGAACTTGCCGTTGCTTTCATCACGGTCAGTTCGGAGCATATCACCCTAATAACAGAAGTATTGACATGAGTTTATAGTACGGAAATGAGCCTGGTATTGACGCTTACTACACTTCGGCCGTCATTGTCGCAACGGTGGATGGGGCATCCAAGTCAGACGCAGGCACCCAGAGCGGAAGCGTGAGCGATGCAGAGGATTAGCTTTGGGAACATTAACTATCCGGTCTTCCACTAAACAGAGGCTCACAAATGTTTGAGAAGTAAAGTTTATTATGCTAGTCTTCTGTACAAGTTGTGCCTTATGAAATAAAATAGCCTATTCCTCAGCTAAAGTTCTGACATCGGCTTGTGACTCGACGTATCCCTGCCCTTGCTGACTACTCCGTGGCGTGAAAGCCAGAGACGACAAGAGACAAGAAGCAATCGAGAAGTTATAACTCTGCTCTGAAGCATATATGGGGAGATAACCTCCTCGGTCTCAACTTCCGCTTCTTTGGAGGTGAGTTCACAATCCTCTCCAAAAGCAGCGACCACTGATCCATCGGGACGCCACCTCGGTGAAGATGTCGGTCCACATCTTCATGAATAAGCATGAGAAGGATACGGAGAGTGAAGTGCGCTGAGTTCCCAGCTAAGCACGGGTCTTGGCACGCGACTCCAATTTTCTGAGTCATCTCGCGCTTGCTTATCATTTTACCCGTCGGGACATGGAAGACTTCCTCCACAACCTGGGAAGTGTCGATAGTTCTGATGGCGTGGAAACGCACGCCGCAGCTTCTCAAGAACGAGAGGCTTTCGTCTCGTTCATGGGCGATGAGGTAGAAACCGTTGTTCTTGACGATATTGGTGATCTCCTCCTCGAAGTCATCCATCGGAACGTACTTCATCCTTCCGAACCGGAACATATCCTCGAATTCAGGAGAGTATTCTTCATCCCCAACGACCCAATGATGAGACTCCACGACGCTGGCTGCTAGGTTGACATTAGGTTTGGGAGGCTTGGCCAATACATCTCCAAGACGTTCAGTATCAAGGATAGAGATGCCGATCTGGAAGCTGTACACTTGATCTTCATGCATTACAACGTCTGCGACGTCGATAGAAAGGATCTGGAAGCTTGAGTCCTCTCCGTACTGCCATGTTTCGAGGTGTTCGTGCTGTATCCAAGACCAGCGCGATACACGTTGGGTCTCTATGGCGTATCCCATCACCCACTGAGGGACGAAGAGCTCTGGGCACTTGAACCAAGAGTGGTCCGATGATTCGTCTGATGAGTCGTCCATCTGATTAGTGTACAACATATTCGATGGTGGTTTGAAACAGTGTGACGATTGTTCGTAGGCCGAATGTGAACTAAAGAGTCGTGGTTGAGAGAATCGTGATGGACAGAAGATCAAGTTTCTATGCGTACAGAGTAGACACTAAGGAGATATTTATAGCTAGAAACAAAAGTTGATGGTTTTGTGTAAAGAGAAGCTTTGCAAAAACGAAAGCCAGTTCCTCAGAGTCATACTGTTTGGCTAGAGAAGCTCCTTCTTTCAGAGTTTAAACTTCACAACAGGCACGAAACCTTCACGATGCCAGCTCCCTTCGAATGAAAAGTAATGCAAGAACTTTAAAGGTTTTAGGCACCTAATTCTGGTTACTGCACGAGAAGAACATAACACAAAGAGCTGAGTCGACTATTCTCGACCGAACCTTGAACACTCTAAAGTACTGCATCGCTCAGATAAGATGATTGAACTATTAAGTTTCATAACGAGGGAATAAGAAGATTTGGAAAAAGTTTGTGAAGCAGGATAATTGAACTATTAAGTTTTATAACGAGGGCATTTGAGAAAAATTGGACAAAGTTTATGAAGAGAAAAGTATAGGAGTTCTTAACAAATTAGTCGTGAGATGCGCCACGCAAAGGGATGCCAAAGTATAAAAAACGTGCAGCGTCTTTATCTTGGTCCGAGTGAATAGCCACTTGAACTTGCGTTGTTTAGAACTTAACTGATGCTGTCAAGTAAATCTCCTCCCAATAGAAGACGGTGGCGAATGATAGCTGGCTAGGGAAGGAAAGAAGATTTAGAGGCGGTATCAAAATAAACTCAGCAAAAGGCATCCTAAACTTATCCTAAATTTATGCCAAATTACCTAAATCCTTTTATAATTTAGGATCACGGTTCTATATTTCTAGCTCCTCGAGGCAATATCAAGGGCTCCATCACTTTGCTGTAAGACCTTTCGCGTTAGACTGCCAACTTGCATACGATGAGTGAGAAACATGTATATTTAATATGGCGATGAGAAACTCCTGGGAGTAGTGTTTGTGGGGAAGCGCATTATTCTTGATACGTATATACATTGCGAATAAATTCTCATCAATGTCTCCATCATGTTTCTAATTGTGACTGTTGGTATAAAAAGCCACCGCTGTTATTGGATATATAAAATACTGGCAAAACAGAAACGTAACTCCACGCGCCAAGCGGCCCGGTCATTATTCCCTTCTTCACTTCATTTACTGCTGGGGATACGCTTGGGGAGGATAAGGCTGGGGCTGAGGCGGCGGCGACATTGAAGCAGGTGGAGGGTGGGTGTAGTTTGTCTGGCCATCGAGCTCACTTCCGTAATGCTGAGGAGGAGGAGACACTGCGGCGGGAGGAGGTGTAGAGTAGTTTGTCTGACCATCAAGTTCACTTCCTTGAGGTTGAGGAGGCTGTTGGTACTGCTGAGGAGGATACTGTCCGTAGTTCTGCTGACCTTGGTACTGTTGGTCCTGAGGAGAGTAAGGTGCGGCGGGAGGAGGATAAGCGCCCTGTTGTTGGTATGGGCTCTGGGCAGGTTGGTAAGGAGAGGGAGTGCCCTGAGGATACTGCTGCTGTTGTTGAGGAGCGAATTGGCCCTGAGTAGGTTGTTGCTGGTATGGCTGCTGGGGGACGCCCTGAGGTTGAACAGGCTGAACCATGGGTTGACCTTCATTGACCTTGGTCTCCATTTGGTAGTTGTTGTTGGGTGAAGGTGAGGCAGCGAGGTTGACAGCGAAGCGGCCTTCCTTGCGACCACGGAGGAACATGACGAGTGTCCAGACAAAAGTGACAATGAATAGGATCCTAGAAGTCAAGCGTTAGTCAACATTCTCCCTAACTCGAGGACTGAGACAACTTACCAGACAAGCGCACCAAGACCCGCGACGGCAGCAAGCATAGCCAAACCACTCTTGAAGAGAATAACATTCTCCCCGTCACGCTTAAAGATATTGCAAGTCTTACTATCCGTGAGACTTCCATCGTCAACACAACCATAAGCATTAACAGGGACGACGTATTTGGCACGTCTCGCAGCAGTGGCTGCCCAGGCGGCAAGCCAGAGAACCATCATCAATGCATCGAGACTTAGAACGGCGATGATGTGATATGCGTTTTGAAGACTGGGGATTTTCTCTGTGAGGAGGACGTATGCGATGACTATCCATGAGATGATAGCCTAGATGTGTTAGTGTTATTGAGATGAAATGATGAGAGGGAGGACGTACAATGGCGAGAGATAGAGCTTCTTCATCGAGAGTAGCATCGTGCATCAAACGACCACAAAGACCAACAATGATAAGAGAAATAAGAAACTGAAAGCCTCGAATTATGACAATCCAAAGCGGTGTCTGAAGAACATGGCCGCCCTCAACCTTTTCCTGAGTTTGTTCCATAGTAACAAGCAGTGTAAGTGATAGTCAAGCCACGAGAAGCAGCCAAGAGATGGGAAGTTGCTAGTGTAAGGGGCCAAGACGAGTGTTCGCTGGGAAGAATGATTTATGGCGCACCCTTTTCTTTCGGCTCGGGGGGGAAACACAACAGCCTTATAGGGACCCCGTTCACTTACAAGAAGCCCAAGGCAGATTTCGAGGGACGAGGGAACCCTTGCGGATGGCGTCGTTAGCGTACTTCAGCCGCAGTTCAGCTTGCCCGTTCGGGATGCCTTGTTGGCGCCGTTGGGCTCTCTTGGTGGAGGGGGGACAAGGCATGGTTTTCGGTCTGTCAAAGAATTGTCCGAGTTTCAAGGCCATACGCGTATATTAAGATAATCTCTCTATCTGTTTCTTCAACTCCGTATTTATTTGCCTTTTTCAAGAGTTCATCATCGTCGGCAGTCACACGAGTGTAAATGTCGAGTGCCTTGGTGGTGTTTAGTTTAATTGACAGCAAACGAAAACAGGGTCACAACGGTACCACCCTACCTAACACCCCTGCACAACACAAGGCACGAAAAGTAAAACAGACAAATGTCGTTAAAGGCGGAGCGGCTTGTGGAAATTGAACTTGACAAGTCTGGGCAGTGCGACAAGCCACTTGAAGCTATTGCTCCTTAAAATACTCACTGAGGCGTTTCACTAGAAGGGACGGAGTTTCTAGCTTGATCGCTAGGGAAATCGGCATTACATATTGACAAGTGACAAAATCCAAGGTAAGAGAGTGACAGGGCTCGGGTGAAGAGAGTGCACATACATACATATGTAGGTTGGAGAAGAAGTGCTTCCCAGTTGAGCATGCTGCGCGAGATTTGGTTCGAGGTGCAGATCCCTGTCTGTACGAAGGATTTCGCTAACCAGCCCATGCCGGTGTCGATCACATGGATAAGATCTCCCGACAAGCTTCTCACTCTCACTCTACCAGGGCGTTTATGTCTCTTGTCACACAAGCTAGCTAGTCGTAAAGTGTTCAATAAAAGGTGAGATTTGTTCCTCTTTTGGGAGATGTAAGACGGGTGAGGCTTGTCTTACTGGAGAGACTGGATGGGAGAATAGCTGAATGCGGAGAGTGGAGATGGCACATGGGCTGTGCTTGTTCAGCCGTTGGAGCTAATTTATGGAGTGGCGGAATGGGCGAGGTTTGGCAGGGAGAGTGCGGAATTGGAGGATGGGGGAGATTGGAGAGGATACGGGGGAGCCACTGGAAGGGCGTATTCAGCAAGATTCAATTAATAATGCAGTCACTGTAACCGTCTTCCGGAGTGCGAGACTGCCTTGCACGATAGAGCTAGAAGGTATGATGGGTATACCGTGAGATGTTGGATTTTCGAGCCGGAGGGCCGTGGTTCTCCTTGCATCTCAGCCTAGACACCCGCCTGCTACCCGTGCAGCCGTGGCCAATCTACAGGGATCCAAGTGAAACAAATCACATCTATTAAGTGTCCGAGAACGATGCTATAATGTAAAGGACTCATACCAAGTCCACTCATGACAAAACGCCTTCACCCGCCGCCCCGCTTCATATGATCCAAGCCATCCCATGCCCAGATATCTTTTTCGCTTTTATTCTCATTCAAAGTCATTCATATCGTCATCACCCTTCCCTTTACTGCTCGTTAGGTCCCTTGATCAGAACCTTGATCGCCTCTCCCTCCTTGACCTTCTTGAAAGCCTCCTCGGCCTGCTTGAACTCAACAACTCCAGTGATGAGCTTCTTGACATCAACCTTGCCAGTAGCGACAAGCTCAACGGCGAGAGGGTAATCACCGGCGCCGTAGCGGAATGAGCCGCTGGCTGTAGCCTCCTTGATACAGAATGCCATGATGGGGAAGGTAATGTCGGCCTTGCCCATGCCGCCCTGCACGTAGCTACCGCCGTTCTTGAGGACGTGGATAGATGCTTGGATTGAGGGCTCAGCACCGCTGGCGTCAATGACGACGTCAGCGCCTTCAGGAAGATCAGCGAGCTCGCAGATGTTCTTGGCGTTCTCCTCGGGCGCAATGCGCTGAGAGGCGTAGACGTGAGTGGAGGCAAAGTCCTTGGCGAAGTCGAGCTTGCTCTGGACGATATCGACGCTGACGATCTTGGAGGCGCCGTAGGCCTTTGCGACAGCGGCGCAGAGAAGACCAACGGGCCCAGCGCCCATGACAACGACAGAGTCGCCGGGCTTGACGCGCGCCTGCTTGACGATGTGCACAGCGACAGCGAGAGGCTCAATCAGCGCACCCTCCTGCTGGGAGACATTATCAGGAAGCTTGAAGCAGAAATCCGCCGGCGCAGTCCAGTAGCCGGTCAGAGTTCCATGGTAAGGTGGTGTAGCGGCGAATACCATATCCGGGCAGAGGTTATACTTGCCCGCGAGGCAGTTCTGGCATCTTCGGCAGGGGTAGCCGGGCTCGAGGGCGACGCGGTCGCCGACCTTGAGGGTCTTGACCTTGGAGCCGACTTCCACGATGGTGCCGGCGGACTCGTGGCCTAGAACCATGGGGTCCTCGACGACGAACTTGCCGATGGAGCCATGGACCCAGTAGTGCACGTCGGAGCCGCAGATGCCGGTGTAGTTGACGGCGACGAGGACATCGTGAGGGCTCGAGAGGGTGGGCTTTGGGCGCTCCTCGAAGGAGACGTCGTTGGGCTTGTTGAGGACGAAGGAGAGGTTCTGGGGGTGGATGTTAGTGAGACGTCATGAGGGGCCATGATGGCGGGGTATGATGTGAGGCTATGAGCTGGGTAAGACATACGCTGGCCATTTTTGCTGCTATTGAGTGAGTAATTGAGAGAAAATGAGAATTGAGAGACGAGAGATGAGATGAAGAGGAGGAATTGAGTCGCGTGTCGTGGGATGATTAAGTAGGTTCGTCACTCGTAGCTCAAAGTGGGATGTCCGTCCTGTCTTATATGGATCACAGTGGAGTTCAATCAACACCGTCACTATCACCAAGCGCAATTGCAATAATAGCCTGAACAACAAATCTCTGTAGACTACAATCAAAAAAATTCAGATCATGGTCTAAATCTGCTGATGAGGGCAGCGGCTCATATACCCCAACCTCATCACATGGTCCCTCCCTCTCACCTCACTCATAGAATTGCTAGCCAAATACCCGTCATGATGGTTACACCCCCACGGTTTTTACCCTCGCCAATCAAGAAGCCATGATATCGAGACCACAAGACCCGACAGGATTCTCTCTAAATATGGGGTGCTTGTCATGACGGGAGCGCTTGATGTTCTGATGGGCACTTTAACCAGAGCATTTAACCGCGCGAATGAGAAGAGTGGGATTGGTGGAGTAGGATCCGTCGGTGAGAATTAGACCGGGAAAGCTCCAAGGCTATTTTATAGCTGTAAGCTAGAGATCAGTGGATATTGGCATGGCATTGTTGGATGATCAGTCAAGAAGGAAGGGCTGTGGTTCTCAGATCATTGACTCAGATCATGATAGCATTGCATAGCTTGGCTGCCGGCTCGGTCCCGCAGACTTCCGGGCTTGCATCCGGAGCTTGGAGCAGTCACTTGACCATCATTTTCACCTTCAAGCAATTTATTAGTGCGGCAGGTGTTTAGCTTGATGGTCCAGTTTCATCTGTGTTCCTGCGTCAGCTTCCCCATCAGAATTCCGCTGCCGGCGCGGAGCTGCGGCTTTGGGAATAGCGTCCGGGTGGTGGATCCGGCCCGGGGCGGGGAGTCTCGGCGATGTGCGATGGGCAACATTAGCCGGTCTCCGCTGAGTGAACGAGTATGGGAATCCGTCAAGAGATAAAATTCTAGGGAGGAATTGACACATGTTCTGTGATCCAGTCACATTGCGTTGCGGATCTCAGCGGTGTTAAACAGTCGCAACACCAGCGGTAATGTGCGAGATGGTCAGAAAGAGGGCTTGCAACGAAGCTGTTCACGGCCGCAAGATTAAACATCATTGACATAGAACATCATATGCCGTCCAGGAAACGAAGCGTCAATTTTAACTGATCTATCACCAACTCTCGTGCTATCATACAACACTCTCATCAGTCACAAGCATCCCAGCATCAACCACTCCTTCTTCCCCATCCATCTAGTTGAGGTTATAGTGCTCCTCCTGGTGGCTCACAGAAGAGTGTCGCTTAGTCGTGCTCTCATGAGGATAGTCATGCTCGATGATAGGCTCTCCAAGGTGCTCTCTAAGAGTAGAGGGAGGAGCACGGGTAGCGTCAAGAGTCGCGCCGGGAGACTTGTGCATGTCATTCTGGTAAGACTCTGTATTGCTTAAGATGATGTTAGCATTGAACAACATCGCATGTATGAGGAGTGAGCCTACGATGGCTTTGACTGTGTAGAGGGAACGCCAGGCACGTTCTCTACCAGGGAGTTGATCCTGTCTCCTGTGCGAACACCCTCGGTCTGCTGGTTCTGGTTGGCTGTTGCATCAAGGGGAGAAACGTGGGAATTTGAGCCAAGTTCTCGCTGATTGTTTTGATTGGAGTTGTTGAAGGTGTTGTTAAAAGACTCGGCGTTGTTTGAGCTGGTATTGTATGTCTCGCGGAGAGAACCACTGTTGTGAGACTCTTGATGAGAGCCAGTGTTGCTGTTCTCAGTGTTGGAGGGGACCAGTGTCTCCTTGATCTTGTTCACGAGGTCGGCCATTTTGTTCCGGTCTTGAGTGTAGATGTTATTGCGTGTAAATAAAGTAGTGTTGTAAGTGAAGTGAAGGAAAGCTTCGATGTAAATTGATGGTTCTATGGCAAGACTTCCAGCGGACACCTCTCTTATATACATCTCATCTTCGCCTCTTACCCCCATCTCCTCACCACTTCCATCATTCTTCTCTAATCGATCACCGCCATGAAACACGCTCATTCGACAGCTCGGCTGCTGCGTCATGTCGAAATCGTCATGACGTCGAGTGATCGGCAGAGGCTCCATCACAGCGCGATAAGCATATTCCAAACCCTAAAATTAGCGCTCCGTTCTCTTGGTTTTTGTTCCTGGGGCTTGTTAATAATTGCCCGATTCTTCTTCGGGTGACATTGGCCAAGCCTTTTTGGTTGTGCTAAAAAACCCTGGTTCGGAAGACATCATCCGTGGGGCTAGAATCTTCCGCGGATGCATCGCTAAGATGTGCGGATGAGGGGGATTATGAGGTTGGATATTACGTAGATGGGATTATTGCTCCTCGGGAGTGAGAAGCTTGTTTGGGTGTGAAAGGGTACCACGTAAGCTCAGGTACGGATCATGATCGAGATGGATGGTCGAAGTGGTTGCACGGGAGTCACATGTGATGGCGCAATCATGAAGGCGACTAATCAACGATCTCAATTCAACGACGTCGCTTACGCACACTGTCCTTCAACAAGATAATCACCTCTTATACATCATCCAGTAACCAGCTCCCAAAGCAGTTACGGCCCCAGCCCACGGCATAACAACCATCACAGCAGCAACAAGGTTACTCTTTGCCTTCTCCTTCACAATCCTCCGTAGTTCCGCTGCCTCATTAACCCAAGGAAACTCCTTCTCCGGCACAGGCTTACCCAGAAACTCACAAATGGGCTCCCAGCCTTGTCCCATGCGATACTCTAGCAGCTGCTCCTTAGGCACCATTTCGCGTATAACACGATGATGGCGATCATATGTTTCTCTTGCGTTCTTGCGAGCTTCGTCAACTGTCTCTGCTTGGAAAAGACCTAGCATCTGCTTTCGCGCCGCTGGGCCAGCTCTCGACCCGACGAGTGGCTCCACGACGTTGACGGAGAACGCGACGATTGGGCCCCAGAGTTGTCTGAGGACACCCTCGTCAATGCTCTTGAACCAAGGCTCGAAGTCCCGAATTACGAGTATGACTTTAGCATCTGGATACGTCTCAATCAACCGCGGTGCGAAGACAGACGCTACATCGGTGGCGGCTTCGCATTCTCCCCAGATCTCATCCCACTGTCCACGGGTGAAGGGTTTCCCAGTGTATGAGGGAAGATTCGGGAATGAGGCGTCTGAGGCGCGCTCGAGCTTCTTCCAAGCTTCTTTGTCGTCGATGATCTTGAGGCCGTGGAACACGTCTTTGTAGCCGAGAACAGTGAGAGCCTCTGCCATGGATGCTGTGCCTGTGCGGGGGAGGCCGAGACAGAGGACTTTCATGTCTCGCTTTGGTTTAGGAGGAGGTGTGTTTGACATTTTGGGTGATTGGGAGGTGTGAAAAGGTTTGGGTTCTTTGGGATTCAGCTGCAAGATATTGATCTTCAGACCGCAAAATGAGCCGTCGGCAAGTGCTTACCACGGATCACGCTAACGCACCAGCGTAGGATTTCACAATTCAAGGTTCAGGTTGGGAGTTACTATGAAACACTATTTTAACGGTCAGTCCAATTGCATCTCAGTTCAATTAAGCCAATGGACAGCTTTGTGATTGATGATGCATTCGCTAGCGGCTGAGGCTCATTACCCTTCCACCACCTCCGAGCATCCGGGACGGAAATCCGTTCAATTTCACAGGCATCATCACATTGTGCACAATCACCTGAGACATACACCCATGGTCACTTTAAACAGAGATTGGTGAGTCACTTAAGAACAATTGATCATGATTTTTATCATTTGACTTCATTAAAGAACTATTTCCGCTTATGCATAGGTAATCTCAAGAGATCTGGAATATCCATCCATGATCCTCTTCATCCTCTCCTCATTACAGCCAACGGCGTCCTCTGTGGTTCATATCTAGAGTTTCCTCCGGTAGCGAGCTCATCGGCTCAGTCATTTCCTCCTCGTCCACCTTTTTCTTGAACCCTTCCACGTTCCGTTGTTTGCACCGTTTTGAGTTTTGGGGCTATCTACCTCTTCATTGGCAGAATTATAGCAAAGAACTTGTTCCCTTTACTGGGCAAAATTCGTTCACGCCTTCTTTTCGGCGTTGTTGCGTTGAGCAGCAGCTTGTGCGTCAATCTTCTCAGAGTCGTGACGCACGCTGGCTTCGCTCGAGTCGGGTGTGAGATACTCGCCGAAGGTGCGCTGCTCAAGATCCATGTCCTTCCACTCGACGCCCTGGTTCTTGCGGGCTTGACGGCGGAAGTACACGCGCTTGGCGAACTTCCAGGCCTCGATGCCGCCGAAGAAGAGGCCGGCGGCGATGAAGACGATGGCCCACTCCCAGGTGATGCCCTTGTGCTTGAAGACGGTGTCGCTGATGACGGGGATGTACTGGATGGGGAAGAGGGTGACGAAGCCGAGCATGATGGCCCAGAAGAGGAACTGGTTGCGCCAGACATCGTGCATCCACTGGGTGAAGTAGAGCTTGGAGCCGGGCTGCATGCGGAAGAAAGATCGGCGCTTGTCAATCATCTCCCAGGCGAGGAAGAGGGAGAACCATGTGAGACAGGCAAAGGTGGTGGCACGGGCCTTGAAGACGGTCTCACAGCTCTCGCTGTAGTTATCGTTACAATCCTCACCGAGCTCACCGTTGCCGAAAGCATACAGGCGGAGGACGAAGGCGCTGAGGCAGAGAGCAGCGATCCAGAGACCGTAGACACACATATCGATGATGAACTCGAGGGAGAAGACACCAGTCTTGAGAGAAATCGGGGGTCGGCGAAGAATACCAGCGACAGCGCGCTCGAAACCGAGACCCATGTCGGGAAGACCAGAAGTCATCATAATGATCCACATGATCTGGACGGGAGCGATAGGGAAGACGGAGAGACCTGTCTTGTCCTTGAAGACGAGACCGACAAGAAGGACGACGGCTTGGGCGACGTTGGTGGCGAGCACGTGGAGAATGAACTTCTGAATGTTGTCAAAGATACGGCGACCTTCCTCGATGGCAGCGACAATAGATGCGAAGTTGTCGTCGCTGAGAACGATATCGGAAGCATCCTTTGCGACGTCGGAACCGGCTTGACCCATGGCAATACCAACATCGGCACGGCGGAGAGAGGGAGAGTCGTTAACACCATCACCAGTCTGTCAAGTTAGCATGAGACATTGGAAAGAGACGACGGTGAGAACGTACCATAGCACAGAACTTGTCTCGGCGATGCAGGGCTTCAATCATGCGGACCTTGGTCTGAGGAGCACATCGGGCAATAACAAGAGGGAGGAAAGGAAGCTGGTCGACTTCATCATCGGTAAGACCATCGAAAGTAGTAGCAGTCATGACCATGGTAGCAGCAGTGTCCTCGGCGACGAGATCCATACGGGTAGGCAGGATACCGACCTCAATGGCGATAGCCTTAGCGGTCTCAGGGTGATCACCAGTAAGCATGTGGACGGAAATACCAGCCTCATGACACTCTCGGACGGCGGGAGCAGACTCAGGACGGGGAGGATCATAAAGACCAACGAGACCACGGAAGACGAGATCACACTCAACAGTGGTGCGGTCAATCTCATCACCCTTCTTCATGTCGACGTTGTAGGGCTTGGAAGCAAGAGCGAGGACACGGAGACCCATTCCAGCAAAAGACTCCATGTTACGGAGGATCTGCTCACGGAACTCATCGGTGATGGGGACTTGCTCCTCGTTATCCTCAGGGCAGTATGTAGCACAGGCACCAATGACACGCTCGACAGCACCCTTGGTGAAGGCGAAGAGCTGGCTGGTTCGGTTATCCTTCATGATGACGGACATGCGCTTGACATCAGAGTCGAAGGGAAGCTCGGCGATCTCACTGTACTGGTTGGCAGCGTCGTGGCTGGTAAGACGGAGACGGTTCCAGTCGAAACGAGAGGCGAGGACCTGGATGGCAATCTCGGTGGGATCACCGCGGGCGTGCCATTCACCGTTCTTCTCGTTGACGGTAGCAAGGTTGGCGAGAGAAGCAACTTCGAGGAACTTGACGAGAGACGACTTGGACTGGTTGAGGAGCTCGCTGATAGGAGAGAGAGAACCACATTCGTCACCACCCTGCTTGAGGGGAAGCTCGTGGGGCTGGCTGCGAGACCAGCGCATGTCACCAAGGGTAGGGTTGAAAGGCTCAGTGGTGTTCTCGATTAGATAGGTTCCCTTTCCAGGAGTCCAGGCTCCACGGGCAACCATCTTACCTTGGGTGAGAGTACCAGTCTTGTCAGAGCAAATATCGGTAACAGCACCAAGAGCCTCAAGAGACTTGAGGTTACGAACAATAACGTTTCGCTCAACCATGCGCTTTGTACCGGCAGCCATGGTGATAGTCAAGACGACGACCAAACTAGCGGGAATCATGGACAGACCAGTAGCAACGGCGTAGATAATAACCTGCTGGGAAGCATCAAAGTCGTTGGCAGCAAGGACGATAATGGCACAGATGACGGCAGTACCGAAGAGGTAGATTGCCAGACGGGAGAGCTTCTTCTGCAGAGGTGTGCCGACGTTGACACCGAGGAAACGACCAACAGCGTCGGTGAAGGTGAGAGTGTAGGCTTCGAGATATCGGTGAGGCTTGGCGGAACCATCGGCCTTGCGCTTCACGGGACGGACCTTGCTGTCCTTCTTTCGGAGGGCAGCAGCGATAGCGCCGATTTCAGTGCTAGTGCCGGTAGCGAAGACGATACCCTTGGCACGACCCTTTGTGACGGTGGATGAGCTGTAGGCGACGTTGATACGGTCACCGGGTCCGGTGTTGTCCTCAAAGACCTCATCCTCGTTCTTTCGAACGGGGAGAGACTCACCAGTCAACATAGCCTCATCAGTCTCAAAGTTAACAGCCTCAATAAGTCTACGCTAATTAGTAAACACCCCAGTATAAGTGTCAGACATGGGGTTCACTCACCGAATATCAGCAGGGATCGTATCACCGGTCTTGATTTCCACAAGATCACCGGGAACGACCTCAACGGAGGGAACCACCTTGGAGTCTCCATCGCGCACAACACTAGCAGTGGGAGAAGACATGGACCGCAGAGAGTCCATGGTCTTCTCGGCAGAGTACTCCTGGAAGAAACCGACAGTGACATTGAGACCAATGATGAAGGCGACGACACCACCCTCAATCCACGACTTGATACCGAAAGAAACAGCCATGGCGAGAATAAGCACCTTGGCAGACGTCAGTAATCATCGACATAGCGTCGGGCAGGGGTGTGAGCAGGTGGGTTGGGGGACCAAAGAACGACGGGCTGCCTAATCAGGTAATATGCAGTCGAGTGGCGCGAGGAAGAAAAAATAGTTCAGCCATCGAGATATGCTTAAACCATTAAACTTTGGAGTGTGTGGGGGCTAGGAGAGGAGGGGACTGGGCTGGACTCACCAGCGTCATGGCATTAGCGACCTGAGCGATGATGATCTTGAGGGGCTGAACGCCATCAGCTTCGCCGAGATCGTTGTTGCCAAACTTCTCATGTCGTTGTTTAGCTTCAGCCTCGGTGAGACCGCTGAGGGTATCAGTCTTGAGCTCCTCGACGACCTGGTTGAACGTCAAGGCGTGAGCGGGACGGCTCATGGGCTCGTTGCTCTGGCCAGAGACATGGTTGTCGACGGAGTCGTCCTTCTTAGCCATGGTTGTAAGTCGAAAAAGCTAGCAGTTTGCCAGCGTTGCTTATGTTGTTGTTATATATATCGACTCGGTGCTGGTATACATGAGTTGGGAGAGAGAGAAAAAAAAGACCCTTAAGCCTATGTCTGGGGATTCCTGTAAGATGAATTTGCAGGAAGCCTTTCGTCTGGCGTCGGAAAGGGTTGTTTTTGGAGATCTAAGTGAAGAGATCCTTGGGGAGAAAGGGAAGAGAGGAACGAGAATTGCATCGTGCGGGGAGATGGGGAAGGTCTTATAGACGACTGTCCCATCGTCGACGACAGACAGAGCAAAGCAGTCAATGCTTATCTCGCCAGAGTCTTGGCTCAAGTCACTATCTGGGTTGAGAGAGATGGATTTCATTCTTTTCTCCACATGGGCCAAGAGGCATTACCCAATTTTTCCTTCTCTGCGGTGCAGTTGCTCTGTTCCAAAGGCGGGGAGGCATTGGGATTGGGCATTCTGTGAGAGTCTTGGCGATGATACGAAACCTTGGTTTGTTGTTGTGTAGGTAGTGTTGAGAGTATAGTGTACGCCCCCCGGCCTTGTCCGACGAGTCCACTCCGCCCCGGGGGAGGGGTCCCCACTGCTGAGCGAGTGGTGATGGCGCCGTTCTGTACGGTAGGTTCAAGAGGCGTCGGCACGTCATTTGGAGATGGCTACCAAGCATCCTGTGACGCGGCGTGGCGG